TTAGAAGTATGACCTGATGATTTTCTGGATTTCCTCTGTGTCTGTTGTTATGTCTCCCTTTTCATTCTGGATTTTATTAATTTGCATGTTCACTCCATGCTGTTTGGTAACTTTGGATAAAGGTTTGTCTATCTTATTGTTTTCTTGAAGAACCAACTTTTTGTTATATTGATTCCTAGTTTCCATTTTATTGATTTCAGCCCTCAATTTGATTATTTCCTGGTGTCTGCTTTTCCAGGGTCTATTGGCTTCTTTGTTTGCTAAAGCTTTCTATTGTGTTGTTAATTCTCTAGTGTAATTATTCTCCTGTTTCTTCATGTGGGCATTTAGTGCTATGAACTTTCCTCTTAGCAACTGCTTTCAGAGTATCCCATAGGTTTGGATATGTTGTGTCAGCATTCTCATTGAATTCTAGGAAATCTTTAATTTCTTTTTTTTATTTCTTCCTGGACCCATGAATTGTGCAATTGGTTGTTGCTTAATTTCCATGGGTTTGTAGGTTTTTTGTAATTCATGTTGTTGTTGAATTCTAAATTTAAAGCATAGTGGTCTGATAAGATACAGGGGGTTATTTCAATTTTTTGTACCTGTTGAGGTTTGCTATGTTGCCAAGTATGTGGTCGTTTTTAGAGAAGGTTCCATGTGTTGCTGAAGAAGGTAAATTATTATTTTTTGGATGGAATGTTCTATAGATATCTGTTAAGTCCTATTTTGCCATAACTTCTATTAGTTCCTTTGTTTCTTTGTTAAGTTTCTGTGTGGTGTTCCTGTCCAGTGGTAAGAGTGGTGTCTTGAAGTTTCCCACTATAAGTGTGTGCTGTTTTATGTGTGATTTCTGTTTTGGTAATATTTCTTTTACAAATGTGGATGCCTATTTATTTGAGGCATAAATGTTCAGAAATGAGACTTCATCCTGAAGGATTTCTCCTGTGATGAATAGGAAGTGATGTCCTTCATACCAAATTTTGGATTTCAGGAAATAGAATTGAGATAATAAGAAGGGCACTGGAAAGCAGATTGTTGCAGAACTGGGTATGGGAAAAGAGAGATTGCAATTGAAGATAGGAAGGATAGTGTGGGTCATCATTTTAAGTCCCAGCCTGATGCCACCACTAGGGCTCCCAGATAGAAAGGCTTTCTAGGTACTGGAGGTTGATACAAAGGAATGGGGATAGGCTAGAAATGGGAGTATGTGATAAGTGAGGAAAGCTAGGTCTGCTGTAAAGTTCAATGACATCCCCTGGGAATGGAGGCAGTCTGGGATGAGGGCATGTATAAATAGGCCGATGCAAGGCAAGATTATAATGGAAGTCATGAAGGAAACCAAAAATTTCCTACCAAGTCCTAACCTAGTATGGTTACTGGGGATCCCAAATTGAGAGTGTTTCTAGGTAATGACAGCTGACAAAAAGGATTGTGAATGGGCTAGAGGGGATGGTAGAAAGGGACCACAGAATGGAGGGATTAGCATCTTGATATTTATATGCTTAGATACTGTTTTCTTTATCTTATTGGGATTATTATTTTATTTACTGACATCATTGCATATATGGTTGTGCATCTTTCATAAGTTTCTCAAAACTTGTGTCAATTGCATCTCCAAATGGGGTTTCTACATAAACTACATGTGTATGGGGTAAGTTACCCCAAGTTTCCTGTTAGTGTATGTGAAGAATGCTGTAGACTGAATGAGATATTTTCACATGTGTAATTGTGACACTTCTTTAAATATTATACTTTACGATAAATCTTTCCGCCCAAAGCCGCCTGAGCCATACCAACATGTGGGCAGTCTCTGCCAGCCGCCTGAGTTCTGCCTGCCACGTGGATGGACAAAATAATACAGAGAATTAAATTAGGTTCAAATGTTGCTTGGCCAATGACTATGATTTCTCATCTGTTAGATCAGTCTTAATTATCATAAATCTAAATATTCTATAAGACTTATCTTATCGGGCAACTTTGGTGTCCTCCCTTGCTGGTGGATCACATAGTGCCCCTGGAGGAAGAGAGGAGGGGAAAAGGGGACCACTTCTTTTTCTCCTTCCTTAAATATGAGTCTCCCTGCTCTGTCACTTCCTGCCTGCATCACCACTTCTCTACTACATTTCCCAGAATCCTCTTTGACTCCTAGTCCTGTCTAACTTGCTTCCTCATTGGCCAAACAGTACTTTATTTATCATCCAGTAAGAAAAACACATACACAGAAGCACTTCCCCCATCAATTATATATGTTTATGGATGTTCAGCAAGAGTTTAATTTGGATTTTGTCTCCATACTACTCATTGTCAGTGAACTACAGACATCACATTCTTAAAGCAAATGAGCTTCCTTGTACCTCTGGTAAAACGCGGGGCACTAGAAAATCTTGTTAGCGTTAGTGTGCTAAACCACATTTTCCTCAGGTCCTGTCTGTGTACTGCCCAAATGGTAAGTTCCTCCTATGTCATCACTTGTCTGTGTTTCCCACATGACACATTTTCCCCACTTTTGGAATTTGGACATGATTCCCCTGGCTAAATCTGGATTTCAGAAAGAACTGAGTGTCTAGACCTAAAGGCCAGACCTCGTGTTCTTTTGATGAATTCCTTGGGAATAAATGAATTTTCTTTCTTTTTGACTTTGGCAAGGAATTTTTTATTTCCATCACCTCCTGTGGTGGAATCCAACATTTGAGGAGACCACAGATAGGTCACTAGTTTCTGATGCTCCTTTTTCGCCTCTTAAGAACAATCCTTTGCTTATGACTAGAGGACATGAAAGTGCCCCTGCAAAGTGCTTCTGCTGTTTATGTACAAAGGAACCAACAATACAGCACCAAAGTAAGGGAAGGGAGAACTTTGTTCTTCCTCAGAGCAAGTCTATCACCACCAGATGCTTTCTTAGCTGCTGACAAACTCTACTAAATTGGCATGGGCTGTACCTCATTCCTGGGGCTTGTGAGGTTTCTCAAAGTATAGACTTGCCTCTACTTGGCTTTGAAGAGGTCCTTAAAATGTCAACTGTCCCCATGGTTCTTTTTTGATGATTCTTTTCTTCTGTGTGTCTTTCCAAAATGACCCATATATGCCCTGTACTGCTTCCTAATAGCTTCTTATACTCTGTGATGAATTGACCTGATGAGTACAAATTCAGATCTCTACTCTGAAATGTTATTTTTTCTAGACCTATATAACTACTGTTGTCATACTAGGATAGCATTCTTTTTGACTTTGTATATTATCACTAGAAATAAAATTTCTATAGCTTTTATTTTTGCAGAGCTATATTTGTCATTTAGGCTACCAGAGGACAAAAATAGTAATTCTTACCATTCCATACTTTTTATCCCTAAGAATCTCACTTCATTTCTGCTTATATATGCAATGAAGCAATGTGAGAGGGGATCCATGCTGAGTATAACAAAATGGTCAACTAGGCATTTACCATTATTCATGTATTGACTATGATGACAAATTGAACCTATTAATCAAAGAAAAATAATATTTTCCTGTTAAGGAAATGCATATGAGCCTGCTGGCTTAGGCTTCAGTCAGTTGTTTTTCCTGTTATACCATGTGACACTTCAAGTGGCAGAATTATTCAAAAGCTTCATGGATTTTGACTGGTGTTTTCTTGAATAAAGAGACTTTAATCATCGCATCCATGTTTTAAGAGCAAAGATAGGCTCATCTGTTCTGGAAATTCACCCTCTGCAGATACATGACTCAGGTTCATCCTAAAAAGGAAGCTGATTTGAAATTTCATTTTTATATCAAGCAAGTTTCCTACCATAAACCATGGTCCTTTTCTTAAGTGATATTTTAACCTCTAAAACTGTAAGTTGTTTTCTGTGGCCCCATTCTTTTTCAAAGTGAAATATATTCCTTCCTGTTCTTGGAAGGGTATGAATTTTTTTCAGGATTATTCTTCCTCACTGGAAAACTTTTCATTCAAGGCCATTGGTTGACTCCCTGTATTGTGATTTTGGTTGTTCTTCCAGCTCTTGCACCACAGTAGATATGGCTATGTCTTTGCATTTTCACTGATTTTTATTATTTATTGAATACTTTAAAAATTTACATCAAATGATATTATCCATTTGTAAAGACAGTACAAAGAAGCAAGCCTGCAGATACTGCATGTTGGTTCTCTTGTGCTGTGATTAAACATTAATTTTTCCATGTTACATTTAAAAATATTTTTATTGCAAAGAGTCATAGGTCTTGTGTTCTATTCTCCACAGCACCATCAACGCTGTGCACTAGAATTTTCTGGAAATACCACTGCCACTCTGTGCAGTGGAGACCCTGCAGCTTTGGGTCTGCAGATCCAGTCCAGTCACGTGCTCAAGCAGATCGTAGTTGGGGTGGATGTTGAGGCAGACCAAGTCATATCTCTGGATTTGGGCCTGAGTAGCTACATCGCTAGTCTGCCACGTGGCAGATGGGGGGAAATGACTCTGCAGCGGACACTTGCCAGTATAAATGTGTGCTGTATGCTTTGACTTGTTGGGTTGTACTGTGGCTTCCATGATGAGATTTTTAATTTTTTCCTTTTAAATTATTTTATATTTATTTTCATATTTTTTCCTCTTTAATTTTGTTTTATTGGGCTTGGGGGAGTGCATGGGTAGAGGGTAGATGCAAAGGGACCAGGAATGAATGAAATGGACATATGTGATATGAACAACACAAAGAATAAATTATCTTTTTTAGTTATTTGTGCATTTTGTACAACATGGTTCCATTATACTCACCTCCTCTCAGCTCTCCCAGTCGTTTCTTCCCTGTTGTCTTCTTCCTTCCTTTTCTGTGACAGAGAGAAGATCAAATGAAAACTTGGAACTTCGACCACGTCAGTCAACCCTTCTGTAGGGACGTTAGCTGTCTGCACCGGAAGTAACGTTCCCTCCAGAGATTAGAACAGAGTAGCAGCAGTGTTAGTCACTGGAGCCTGAGGACTGCACAGGAGCCTGAAAACACAGCTGCAGTCTTCACGGAGCTGCATCAGTTGAGACATGAGAGAGGAGCCGGGAAAAGAGAAAGATGCCAATAACAAAGATCCAGTGGAAGAGGAGGATGGCAAGGAAAGTGAGGAGCTGCAATTACCTAAAATAAGCACCTACGTAACAGCAGTTCCAACTGCTGTACAAAAGTTAAAAAGGCTCACAGCAGCTAAGAAGCCTGTTATTACTGAAAGTCCCCCAAAGTTACTGGAGGGGCCATTCGGCTTGGGCTCTCTAGTTTCCCCTGCTTTTCAACGTTTCAACAACATTGACTTCTTCACGTTTTTATACTTCGTGGTGGTCACAGGTCATGGTAAGTTGCAGGAGCAGAGTTGCTCTGCTGGCAGTAATATTAAGGTAGACAAGACGGTGGGAATGAAATGTTTGATGATGGGGCAACATTTAACCGGATCCTCTGCCTCTGCTTCCAGTCCTTGGCCACCTGCTTTGTAGGGTCCACGCGACACCAGGGTATCAGCTTCTGATCTCCAGATACAGAGCTGATCAGAAGGTGGTATTGTTAGTTCTTGTTATTTGATGACCAACTTGAGTTCTGGGTTCTATTTCTTGGAGATGAAAGTTGAAGACCACATTGCCAGCTTTTAGATGGTTTCTATTCACAATTGTGAAACACTCTGACAACTTTCTGGAAGCATCTATTTTTTTCTTCATCTTTGAATTGCGTGGGGTCGGCGGGGGGTGGCGCGCAAAGCATAAAGGGTGCTTTTATCCACATGTTGTCTCCTCCATCTTTTTCACTTTGTACTATTTGACTTATAAATTTCTGTTATTAATTTTTTGCTATAAAAAGTCTCACTTTTCTTGCATGTGGTCCCCAAGCTCCATCAGTCCACATCTGAACTTTCCTTTATTTGCAAGTGTTCTGGTTAACTCAGAAACTGCATTTGACCACCACCTGGCTCTCACACTTCTCTGTTGCCAGAGAGAGGCTCGGGCAGTACATATCAAAAGTATAGCAAGAATTTCCTATGGTTTTCTGCTTTGCTGGGGATTTGGGCAGGAGGAGCAATCCTAAGTGTTTGAAGTTCTTAAGGTAAAATAGGGAATTGACATCCTATCAGCAGCAATCACGGATGTTTCCTCAGCACTGTGCTGCTTGTGTCTAGCTGTGACAACTGCTGGGACAGAAGACCAGCAGGTGATGAGCAGCTTCTCAGTGTTTGAGACAGCTGGACAGCAGCATCTGTGCTTAGTGCAGCAATGACTTGTGATCCAGCCCCGTTGCAGACATAAAATGAGTTTTAATTTGTAACTATCTTCTCTTTTCACTCCAAGAAATACAATACATTGTAACTATAACTTGTATCATGTTATTTTTCTTTCACTTAGTATGATTATTTTCTTCTTTACAAGCTGGATGGTTATTTTATACAAATAATACTACCATCTATTTAATACACAACAACATGAAACTATTTAAATTAAGTATATACATTTTTCTTATAGATTGATAATTCCCAGAAACCTTAAACTTCAAGCTCAAATCCTAGCTATGGTATAAGGTTGAATTAGAAATCAAACCTGTGTTCAAATGTTTTCATCTAAAAATATATAAACATTCATTATATTATTAATTCTTCATAATTGATGCATAGTGCATTTAAAAACAGGGATGAGATAATAAAACCATAATTGATTTTTAACAAACTACTAATAGAATTAGTTAAATGAAATTATAATTTTCAAGTAAAAATATTTTGTGGATGTTAAAGAATTGATTTTTTATATACGTTTACTGATCCATGTTTTTATAAAATAAACTTAAATCAGTGTAACATTTTCTTTGAATGATTGTAAAAGTGATATGTTTGTTTACTAAAATGCATTGTTGCCTTTTGTATTTCTTTTGAATTACTAGGTATTGTATTTTCTCTTGTTGATTTGAGTTTTCATAAATTCGACAAGGAATTTTCTCTGTCAGAGAAAGAGAGATTCATAATGGATTACAGTGATTATCATGCATCTTTCCTGGTAGCAATGATCGTAGCATACTATGGAGGCAGAGGGAACAGGCCAAAATGGTTGGCAGTTTCTGCCTTTCTATTAGGAATTGCAGCAATTATATTTGGTCTTATTTTCTTCAAGTATGAAATTATAAAACCGGTGGAAAAAAGTGAAGGTGAGATTTTTTTCAAATATATTACCATATACTAAATTAATATTGAAATCATTGGTTCAAGGAATTTAAAATAGGTCATGATCTGTAACTGTGTATCCTTTCCTTGTTTATGTAACCATGCTTATTGACTAGCTACATTAGTCTAATTAATTAGCTTTCTGATTTCTCTCACAGAAGTGTTGGCCCTAGGAAAGAACATTGTGGTATAATTTGTAAAATGATTTCTTTTAAACAATCTTAGTGTGTCCTGAATTTCTTAAGAAATCCATTAGATACTTTAATACTCCCTTCATTGTCTTTGTAGCACAGAGCCACAGTTCAAATACAGGAATAAGCCTACACATAGAGAAGGGGTAACATTCCGAGTTACTCTTCATATTAAAAAGTTGGATGCTACTCCTTTGACTACCATATGAATACGTAAAAAGAGTGGCTTTCTCATGTTGTTTGATGTTCTTTATTTTGCAATACTTTCATTTTTCCTAGTAAATAAGGTCTACTTGATAAATTCTTAGAGTATATTTGTAACACTATTGTCCCTGATCTTTCCTAATCATCTACAGGCTTTTTATGTATAAGATAAGCTGGGTTTTTAGCAAGACAATATGAGTGAATGAGAAACATCTATGTGTATAGGTATACAAATGTTTTTGAAGTTTAGAATGTATACATATGTGTTTATAAAATATTAAATTATATTTAATATTAAAAGTGGTTACTATGAAGAATAGCTATTTTAATATTAACATAGTTCCACACTATATAATGCATACAAATATAAATACTATATATTATACATATGCCTGTAATATGTCTTTTATATTTATAGAACTGACATTAGCTTCCATAAGAACATGACTTATGAAAAGAAGGGAATGAACAAAATTTCATTCTTTGGTTCTGTTAACTATATTCTGGTCAGAAATGGTGGAACCTTCAGGAACATTGCATCTTGATAAACATTTAAATTCTGATCAGTGGTTAAGAGCATGTAGTACCCTTGCAGAGGACCCAAATGTGGTTCCAAGAATACACACCAGACAGTTATGAACTACTCATAACTACAGCTCTAGGGCATCTGGTACTCTCTTATGGCCTCTGCTTGCATTGGCTTACACACACACACACAAACACACACAATCTAAAAATTAAATATAAATATTTAAAATGTTGTTATCAGTGCTGAAAAGGAGTTACAGCAGTAATCATTTTTCCTTTCTCTTGAATCTTGTTCATGTCAATTATGTTTTTTTTACTTGGGATTACATGTGTAATTACACAGTCATATTTTAGTCTATACAAACACACACAAGAAAGAACTTCTGCATTTGTTTGTTTTATCTACCTCACTTCTCTTATTGCTGTTTCCTGATTGTCTTTTATGCTCTCTTTCTTTTTTTTTGTTTTTGTTTTTTTGTTTTTGTTTTTCAAGACTGGGTTTCTGTGTGGCTTTGGAGCCTGTCCTGGAACTAGCTCTTGTAGACCAGGCTGGTCTCGAACTCATAGAGATCCACCTCTGCCTCCAGAGTGCAGGGATTAAAGGTGTGCACCACCAATGCTGTGCACCACCAATGCCCGACTTACGCTCTATTTCTTTTTTGCACATTATTTACTAGATAGGTACTAGGCTCATCTTCTCTTATGAGCTGAACCTCTTTGGTATCATCCATACCTTTCCCTTTCTATTCTGTTATCTGCTCCATGAGTCCATCTGGTATCTCCAAAGATGACTGGTTCATATTCAAATGTGTGCCTCAACACACATGTGGCATCATACTTCAGCACATCTTGAAATATCCAACACAAAATTTCTCCACAAATTCATGAAAACACTCATACTGTATTGTCATCTTGTTTTCTAATAAACTTCATATAAAGTGACCATCCACACGTCTGTCTCAGCAGGCATACAGTATCAGCTTTATGGTGAGAGCCATGAGTGCTTACAACTTACTCATAATTAAGACAAACTTCTGTTCTTTCATGAGGACCTCAGGAGAGTGACACCTATTTTCTCTGATTCTCATAGTTACTATTTCCCAGTGTTTGTAGTTTGTTTTCTGTCTGTCAACATGACATAGCAACTTCTTTCAAGCCTCCTCTAGTGAGTGCCCTCACCTGTCTTCTCTCATCATTCTTTACCTCCTTTGTAAACCTTGGGAGTGAATCATGCACCTGTCCTTTCCCTATGCCCACTGCTGATGAGTCCTGCGATGAATCTGCTGCTGCCAAATGGAAGTTATGGTTTCCTCATAAATAGATCTAGTCACCTGAAATTTGTCTTAGTCCACACTCTATCCTAACCTTTAAAAAGACTTTAATTTTTTTCCTGCATCCTAAGATGTCCTGTGTTGAATGAAAAATGATTTCATGGAGGAAAATTACTCTAATTCCATTACACTGAAATTTTTATTGGGCCTGCAGATATGTTATCAGTATTATTTACTTCTCTCCACCTACAATGAAGGAGGTGTGCTGTGGTGGTTATTCTGTGTGCTCCTGTCCCAAACTTGTCCCACTAGTGATCTCCTTCTACAGCTCTCAGGAGGTCACCCTTCTCTGTCAGTTCTCACTAACACTTAAATGCAAGCAAATTCTTCTCATTCCATTTTGAATTTTTGAATGCTTCATTTGTTTGGTTTTTAAATTAAAATAAAATTATATCATTTCCTGCTTGCCATTTCTACATCCAACCTCTCCCACGTCTCATCCTCTAAGCCCTCCATGTTGTTCCCTCCCTCCCCATTCCTACCTTTGCAATCTTAGTCACTCTCAGATTCATGGCCTCTCTTTCTTTGTTATTGTTAGTCTGTATATGGTGATAGATGAGGGCCTGTCTTAAATTTCTTTAAAATGTTAACTATCAATTGTGTTTTATTTGCTTGAGTGTTCTCCATGTATGCATGCCCACACATGTGCCTGATGCCTTCCAATGTCAGAGAGGCTGTCAGAGTCTGAAACTGGAGGTACAGATGTCTGTGAGCTGCTAGTTGGGTGCTGGAAACAGAATCCAGTTACTCTGGAAGAACACACAGAGCACTGAAATGCTGAGCCACCTCCCTAGCCCCATGATCTTCTCACTCTTAAAGAATGACAATCGCAGGCATGCTTCTAGTCAGTACTCTGTTTATCACCTGTTGAAATTTCCTTGTTTTCCTATGTGAGTTTGTGAAAGACCTATACTGATTTCTTGTTTTTTTTTTTTTTCATAAGCTTCTTTGGTGAAATTTCACATGGCTTTTACCCAAAATGTTGTAACAGAATAATTTCTGACAAAACATTAGCGTGACTCATGCTATTTAATATATTTAAACCTTAATTTTTATAAAAATAGAACTTTAATCACTATTTGTAATATTGAATACACTCTACTTCATGATAGTTTTTCTTCTGAGATTCTCTATGTATTCAAACTATATGTTATTTAGAAACTTCAATTCCTTAATATAGAATTATTTTATTGTTAAGAGTAAAACTCATTGTATTCAGTTACTAGTCAATGGAAAGATCAGAAATGTGACTTTTAGGAGTAGGTAGACTAGTATACTCAACTTTCTAGAACAAGATAGAGGTAAATAGGCTCAGTAAATGTATTGTGACTGTGAAGAGCATGAAGGAAATTCTGGACTCTATTTCCCAGGAAGAAAAATTGGATTTATGATACTAAATGTTTTTCTTCAGCTCCACATGTATTGCTAGAGGTCATGGCAAAGTGATAATTTGACTACAGTTTTAATTTTACTGAGAGTTTTCATGTTGTGAAAGAGCAGAGATATACAGAAGTGTCCATGATAATTACAACAGAAACATATAAGGGACAACTGAGACTGTTAACAGGGGCATTTTAATACCAGTTTTATGTATTATTTGGATCGCATACTGGAAGACATTAGCTGGAAAGATTTGAATAATACAAAATAAAAATGTGAGAATGTTGCATGCTCAGTCATAAGTAGTTCCTCCAAGGTACACTGAACACATGCCAAAGGTGAAAGAAGTAGATGAGGTGGGGGGTATGGGATGTAGTGTGAAATGATGGATTAGACCTGAAATGGAATTGTAAACTTGAACTGGCAGAAGCTGCACACAAATTATCCAAGGTAGCATCTGCAAGCAACATACATGGAGGCAAAAGGAGCTCACAAGTGGAGATTTTATGTAGCTAGATGTTATTCAGAGAGAGAGAGAGAGAGAGAGAGAGAGAGAGAGAGAGAGAGAGAGAGACGAGGGGAGAGAGGAAGAGAGGGAGGGAGGGAGCAGTTCAGTCCCTGCCAACCTGCCAATGACTCTGCAAAAACAATCCTTCACCCATTATCCTATGACCAATTCTAACACAAGTCATAGATAATGTAAAAATAAACATGGATGTAGAGAAGGGATCTAGTTGGGGAGAGAAAGCCCATTAGTAGGAGTGTGAGGAAAACAGAAGGGTAAAATGAGATGGAATTCATCAGAACACATCATTTGTATGTATGAAAATATCATAAAGAAACTAATTGACCATAGTATGTATTATTATAATTAAAAAGAAAAGCATGAACATGCTGGGTTAAATCACAATTTTAGGTATACTGTCCCATTTGTATGGAGTTAAGTATTATTCCATAAAAACCAATTGAAATTGAAATACCTTTTCTTTAATATAATAGGTTGTAAACTCCACTTTAATAGTTTTTCTACAATATTTCAAGAATGTGTTAAAAATTTCACCCAAGATATCCATAGTAGATATGGTTTATTATCAGCTACTTAAATCTACAAATCTACTAGCAAGTATAAATAAAAACCTTATAATCATGTGAGTAACAAAAAACAGAAATAACATGTTCTTAATTTTTTCTAAAGGTTTTTAAATCTAATGGGTAAATGGCCACACAGCCACCAAAGAAATCTTTATGTAATATCTTTTTAAAATGATCCCATGTGTACTTAGATGTTCTGTGGCTGTGAAAAAAATGCCAGATATAAACAGCTTAGAAGTAGGAAAGCTCTGTTTTATCTCATGATTTCAGAGAACCCCCTTCATGGGTGCTAGGTTTCATTGACTCTGAACCCATTGTCAGGCCAGGAACTAGGAGTATGCTAGAAAGTCTGTTTAATTCATGGTCAGGGACAAGGAGAGTGAAGACAGAAGCATGATAAGACAAGACATTTCTGTCAGAGACGAGGTGGCATCTCCCCATTACAGTTCTAGCCCCCATTCCAAATAATATCCACAGGAAATTAAGCATTTGGTACATGGAGCTTTAGGTAGGTATTTCATATACAAACCATAAGAGTACATAGTGTAGAAGCTCATGGATCTAAAACAGGAAATTTTTTAATGAAAGAAGCACACACATAATTTAAAGATTGCTAAAGAAATGACTATACTCAGATGGTGGACTTCGGCAATTCAGATCATCCAGGGCATGCCAGTCCTTTTATTCTGGAGACAAAACTCATTAGAACAGGGTGTAAACATAGAAAAGATGAGTGGATATGTGTCTGTAAATGTGTGTCTTTATAAGCTTATCTTTTACATGTGATCTTGTGCATATAAACAATCAAACTGTTTTATTTATACTGTGTCTGTCTTCCAGTATGCCACACATTTTATTTTATTGTACTATTTCTATCTAGAATATGATAATTGATTGTGTGATTACAGTCAATTCAAAAGCACTAAGTAAAAGTAAAGAAGTGTGGTGGTAGCAGCTGCAAGTTAATGGTACATTTAATTTTGAGTTCAATTCAGTAAAATATCTTTCTCATCTTTCAAAAGAGTTGTGCATAGAACAGCACAGGAAAACGACAGATTGTCAAGAATTAAGAATACCACACAGATCAAAATGTATCTATCTCTTCATCGTTGCTCAGTACCTCCATGGAATAACAGGGATGCCTATGTATATCCTTGGCATATCCTTCATTTTCGACCATGTTCCCACATTCTCAGCTGGCCTCTATCTAGGCAAGTTTGTTTCTTTCAAATGTGCATGGCACATGTTGAATATTCGTTAGGTTTCTGCATGTTTCAACTGATACAGAAAGACTGATTCAGAAGTGTGATGACATTGTACCAGGTAGTGATGACCTGTGGCCATAGCACAAGTGCAAATCACATGGATCTACCTAACTTTGAGGCTTGGAATACTAGGCTAATCATCAAAATGTCTCTGAAAAGAGTTAGTGGAATAGCAAATAATGTATGTTTTAAGTGGCAAAATGTTTCTATTTGTCTCTGTTTCTCTTTCCCTCTGGGAGAGAGTAGGAGGGAGGGGAGGGAAGGTGACAGGGAAGAGGAAAGGAAGGGTAGCTAGTTGACCACAGTGTCATCTCTTCCACTTACAATGTCTTATGTAAAATGTGTCCTTAAGTAAACATTGATTCGTCCCCAGATAGTTTACCTAATAACCAGAGTCTAGTCCTGGTAGGCCAGAATAAAGATATACTTTCCCAGAGATACCTAGATAGCATTATTTTAAATATGAATCTAATTTGTACTTACTTTGAAAATGTCACTAGTGAGATATTAAAGGAACTATGGTTTATTAATGTTCACACTGAACATAAATAGGTGTACATTAAATATATAGACTGAGATACAATTAATTTCAAAATTAAATTTTCGAAGTATCCAGTACTTGATTGGATAAGAGGATGTGCCACCCAATTGTCCTGTTAGACAATACTCTATGTGGCTCTCTGGCAGTGTCCTAGGGAAGATAAATATTCAGAGTCAGACACTGAGTATAACAGATGACCTTTTGATAAAAATAGGTCTGTTTGAAGCAATATGAAGTCCCAACAGTGCAGACTAACAGTTCCCCAAAAATCAGTGATTGTGGCTCAGCACTAGCATCAACTATAAAACTAGCATCAACTCTTACAAGAATTTTCCACCAGCCTCCTGCCCTACTAATTTGGGATTTGTTAGAATAAATGCCAGAAAATACTTCCAATCTCTCTCTCTCTCCCCACTTCATTTTCCTTCCATTTCTTCCCCTATTTTCCTACCCACCTTTCCTCTCTTCAATAATAGAGATTAGCATGAAAAATATTCAGATATCACAGACTGTTAATTGGTATTTTGTATTATCGAGTTAAGAAACTGGTGCTGTGTTCATTTTCAAGCTATCTGTGATGCTGCACAAGTGTGTGGATACTCTATGGGTTTTGTAATAGGATCAATACGTCCTCCACAGCATGGAAATCCAAATGGAGTGTAAGTTTATACTATTTCCTTTTCTATTTAGTGTACATTATATAGAATATTTGTTGAATAGGTACTATAGTTCAGAAATAATAAACACTTAATTATTAAAAGTTTTAGAAAATATATGTAATGTGGGCAATAAACATTTACAATGTATATTTGTATTTTCACTGTTTGAAAGTAACTAAAATCATTCCTTAAAAGTTCACTAACTTTTTTATGTTTTGTTGTTAAAAACATGCATTATTCATACAATACAATAGTAATAATTATGTGCAGGATACATAGAAGTTTTCATCTTATTTATGATTTAATAATCTTTTCCGTACAATATATTCTGATTATATTCTTCCCTTTTACTAAACTCCTCACCTCCTTGCCACATCAGCTGCTCATGTTCTTTTCCTTTTATTCACTGAGAAAACAAAACAAAAATAAAACAACCCCCACACAAAATTAAAACAAACAAGGAAAAGACTAGTAAGATAAAATAAATGATACAACAAAACAAAATTAAAATCATTTCAAAAAATATGAATTTATTTGTTTTGGGTAACTACTCCTGGCTATGAGACAAACTCTCAAATAGAGCTTTTTATACCCAGTGACACTCTACTGTAGAACACTTGCTGTCCCTTCACAAATGGCCATCCTTTGGATATAGTTCCATGGAGAGAACTGGTACCCCGTGTCTCTTTCCCCCTCTCAGTGTTGGGACCCTATCCTGGACCAGTGCAGATCTTTTGTGTATTGCTACTGTCTCTGTGAGTTCATATGTGCATCAGTCCTATTGTGTCTGGAAGATGCTATTTCTCAGGAGTCATTCATCACTTCTGGTTCTTACAATCTTTCCATCTCCTCTTCCATACAGAGACCTAGGCCTCGAGGGGAGGGGTTTGATGATGACATCCCCTTCAGGACTGAGTGCTCCAAAGTTTCTTACTCCAGTTTATTCAGTTGTGAGTGTCTGTCTTCATTATCATCTACTGTAAGAAGCTTCTCTGATGTGTGTTGAACAGGCATTTATCTACAGGTATACTGAACGTTATTAGGAGTCATGTGATTGCTGTAGTGCTTTAGCAGAAGAATACTATCACGTTTTCTCCTAGTCACATGACTTATCTTGTCTCCAGTTCTTGGCCACTTCAGCAGTATCAGATATAGGATCCATCTTATGGAGTGAACCTTAAATCCAATCAAAAAGTTCTTGACTACTCCAAGAATGTTTGTGACACCATTACACTAACACAAATTAAAGAAGGACTCTGTTTTAGGTCATAAGGTTTATAGGTGCGTGATATTGATGATTGTTTCTGCTCTGGTAACATGGAGAGTATCTTTCAGGAACATAAATGATAGTAGGGATGAAATATTTAGTTAGGCACTAGCACAATTTTTCCATGTTTGAAGATATAAATTAAGTGCTGTCTTTAGCAATTGGGCCTGATTATCAAGTTGTGGTGACTAAACAATAGCCTTGTTAATATCTTGTGATGTATGGGGGTCTTGTGGCATGCCTTCATTAAATTATTCAATAAGATTTTAACTTGAACCTGAGCTTTGATGGCATAAGAACTATTTGGGGCATTGTCTCCTCAATTATTTGATGACTCAGTTTGGATTCTTTTCATGTGTGTATATATTTTAGGAAGTTTTTAGAGTATTAGGTTTTTATATGGAATTTCAAATGGTCAAATGGTCTTTAGTGTTAGAAGTTTCTCCCCATAGTTCCTCCTTTATCTGTCTCCAGTGTCTCCTTCCCTATTTAAACCTTTCATTCTAGTTCCATTCCTCTTTATAACACTATATTACATTGTATTTTCCCTGTCTGGGAGATTCTCTCCTAACTCCTGATGCCTTATTAGATATCTAACAATCTGGGTTATTCTTATTGAAGTGCATATTTAAAATGCTTGAGGGCTAACATCCAAATAATATGGGCATCTTACTTGGCATGAATTTTTTTTGGTTCCATCCATTTATCTTCAGCTTTCACAATTTCATTCTTAACAGAAGAATAATACTCCATTTCATAATCCTGTCATAATTTCCTTGTTCATTCATAAGTTAATAGATATGTAAGCTCTTTCCAATTTCTGGCTGCTATGGATACAGCAGCAATGAACATAGATGAGCAAGAGTCACTGTATAGTCCTTTGGGTATATGCCCAATGGTGGTATAATTGGATTGAGGGAGAGTGACTCTGAGCTTCCTGAGAGAATCTCCACTCTGATTTCCATAATGACTGTTCCAATGAAAACTCTAATCAGCACAAAATATCATTTGTGTTTTGAAATTCACAGCTTGACAGTTGTGAGACAAAATCTCAAAGTAGTTTTTATTTGCATTTCCCTGATGGATACAGTTGTTGAGAATTTTTAAAAGTATTTTTCAACCATTTTGTTTCATCTTTGAGACTCTGATTACATCTGTACTCCATTTTTAAGACTAGAAATGTTGTACTCCATTTTAAAATTAAGTTATTTTTTGGTGTTCAGTGTTTTAGTTCTTTACATATTTTTAGATGCTATCATTCTATCATATATAGTTGGTAAATATCTTTACCCATTTTGTTTTCTGTTGCTTTGCTTGAGTGATTATGTGTCTTTGCCTTATAGAAGATTTTCAGCTTCATGAAATTCAATTTTCATTAAAGTTTTGGCCTTAATGATTTTGCTCTTGGAGTACTGTTCATAAAGTCCTTTCCTGTATCAACAAGTTCAAGCCTATCTCCTCCACCCACATTCTCTTCTGTGAGGGTCAGAATGTCTGTTCTTATGTTGAGGTCCTGGATCCTCTTGGAGTTGAGTTGTATGAAGAGTGTCAGATATGGATCTATTTGCATCCTTCTATTACCACCACCACCATTTTTGATAATACTCTCCAGTGTCTATTATTGGTTTCATAGTAAAAACTATCCAGTGTGGGTACATATGTGGAATTATATCTGGGTCTTCAATTTGGTTCCATTGAATCTGTGTTTATGTCAATACTATGATGATTTTATTACTCTAGATCTAAAGTGCAACAAGAAATCAGAGATAGTGATACCTTCAGCAATTGTTTCACTACTCAGGATTATTTCTCTCTCTCTCTCTCTCTCTCTCTCTCTCTCTCTCTCTCTCTCTCTCACTCTGTGAGTGTGTATGAAATTGAAGTTAATATTTTAATTGTAAGGAATTGTGTTGTAATTTTGATGGGGTTTTTGTTGAATCTGTTGTTTGCTTTTGGTAGGATAGCCATTTTGGTAGGATGATCATTAATCCTGATCCATGAACATAGGGGACCACATCGTCTGGCATTTTTCAATGTATTAAGAATTTATTACACGTTTCTCATGCACTTGGTTTGAGAGATGTCAAGATACTTTGTGAGGCTATTGTAAAAAGTATTGTTTCCCTGATTTCGTTCTCAGGTCTGTTTGTTATTTGTAGGAAGGCTACTGAATTTTGCATGTTAATTTTGTATCCTGCTACTTTGCTGAAAGTATTTATTGGCTTATAAGTTTTCTTTAAGGTCTTATTCATAAAATCATATAATCTCCAACTAAAGATAATTTTAATTTTTCCTTTTCTATTTGTATCTCTTGCAGTTGTCTTATTGCTCTGGGGGTAGACTTAAGTACTACAATAGATAGGTATGGAGAGAGTTCTTTTTTCACTTACTTAGTTTTAGTGGAAATGCTTTGAGTTTCTCTCAATGTATGTTGATATTGGCTGTGAGCTTGATGTAAATCACCTTTGTGTTGTTGCAGGGTGTAAATTATGTCTCTAGTCTCTCTAGGGCTGTTTAATCATAAAGTGTTGTTGCATGTTGTCAAAGGCCCCTTGTGTAGCTAATGAGATAATCACGTGACTTTTGTCTTTTAGTCTGTTTATGTGGCTAACTATATTTATTGATTTAAGTATGTGGGACCTAACCTGCATCTCTGGGCTTAAGCTTACTTGAACATGGAGGATGATCATTTTGTTGCACACCTGTATTCAGTTTGCAATATTTTGCAAGAGTTTTTGTATCTATGTATGGCTTGTAATGCTGAAAAGCTACCTTGACTTAAGAGAATCTTGACAACCTAAACCTAGGGTGCTGTATAGTCTTTACATAGTAAGTACAGACTGCAGACTAAGAGAAAATAAGCATCATGGGTTGAATTTTAAAAAGCAAATGACAAAGACAGTGATATTGCCCACCTCTCTGTTACTGCTACAAAAGATGAATTAGCCAGGGCAATGCTGAGAGCTCACCCTGGTGTTGAGGACAGGGGAGAACTGGTAGGCAGACCAACCCTGCAGCTCCCTAGAACCAGGGTTTTGACTTGGTTGACCCCCCAATATCAATTCCATCAATGACCTGCTAGAGCACATGAAGAACCCTGACCCACAGACTTGAATGTTCAGGAACTCCATGACACAGTGCAACAACAGGATACCCAAGAAGAGTTCCAGTGAGGGCCCAGAATCTCCATTTTGATGTAAACCAGAGGCCTTGAACCAGACCAATGATTCTGGAATGAACAATTGCAAGTAATGAAACATGGATGAGGTGGTTTACTATGTGACTCGCTGTGTTCCACTCCAGATTCCATGACAAGACTTTTAATTTCAGCCACTTTTCTCTTAAATTTCACTGTACTTGGGGCAGGAGGGAGTACAGGAGTGGAGGTAGATTCCAAAGTATGGTTAAACGAATGGTATCAACATATATGCTGTAAAAGTCATGTAGTGTAAAAATTGAGGATTAGAATAGAGCCAGAAACTGGATGAAAGCTCTTGGGATGACAACCAAGGTAGTCATCAATCTATTAAGGTCAATGGCATCAAAGGCAGTCTCTCCACCACTGCCTGGATTCTTAGTTGCGGTCATCCTGTGGATCCCCCTATATTACCCCTGTGCCAGACCTCTCTCCAAATCTATACTACCTCCCTCTATCAAGGCATCTCCTTTCTTGCCCTCCCCTCTTCCTCCCCCTGTCCTCCTGATTTTTCCTGTTTTCCTACCCCCTTCCCTTCTTCCCCTCTCATCTTCCCACTTCTCTCCTTCCATGCTCCCAATTTGCTCAGGATTTCTTGTCCCCCTCCTATGGAACCAGAAACAGGCTTCACTGAAAATGATCTCAGCTACAAATCAAAATTATGCAAGAGATTCTATCCATATGAAAAGCAATATGAATTAATTCTTCAATAAAGAATTTAAAATGTCTGTTTTATAAAAACCCAAGTAAGCTTTAGGAAGAGAACTAAAGAAATAATTCATTTTGGAAAAACACTTATCATGTTTTACAACTTTAGTTTAATTTCCGGGACTCTCATTGTAGAATTCAAGAATTTACCCATGTTATTTGTCCTCTGTCCACTATCCAGGTGTTAGGGCACATGTTTAAAATGCATTATTGTCTTTTAAAATTGAAGTGTACTTTGGGTTTTATTAGAATGAGTTACAGGCTGTGGTCAAGCTAATCCTACAATGGCTGCCTACAAATAGAAGTTTAGTAGCTTTTTAGTTCACAAGGCTGGCATCTCAGCTCATCTTCAGTATATTCTGGAGTCCTGAAGAATTGTGCTCTATTGCCAGTGAAGGAATGGATTGCTGGTGAGGGGCAGAGAGCAGGCAAAGAGCAAAAATGGGCAGGGAGAAGTGTGAGCACTCACTATCAGACATATGTTAAAAACTGAAAGGATCAGTTCTTAAAAAAATACAAATGAACAACAAATATTTGAAAAATATTTGACATGCTTCCTCATTAGGGAAATGCAAATTAAGACTGCAGTGACTCTCCATCTCTACTTGATGAGATTAGCTGCCATTAATAGTATAAGTGTTCATAAGGATGTGGGGAAAGAAAAAACTTATTCACTTCTGGTGACAATATAAACATATATATTTTCTGTGGGTGTTCCAGAAAAAAATTCTGAAAAATGAGGTTTTTGAGAGATGTCTTGATAGTTAAGAATGTACACCACATCTTCTAATTCTGTGAAGAACACCATTGAAATTTGATAAATACTGTAAAGTATCTATAGAAAACTTTCAGCGATATGTCCATTTTCATAATATTAAATTCTTCTAACTAATGTACATGAAGGTCAATCAGTTACTAATTTTCTTTTATTTTTCTCAAGTTCTTGATAATTTCCTACCTTCTAGTGTTTTGTGTACTTCACCATAATGTTCATTTATCTTCATTCATTTTTCTTCTCTAGATCCCTTCTGCTTTGAAGCAACTGTTAATGTAGTTGTTTTCCTCAGTATTCTCTGTATGCTTTTCAGTTGTTCTAGGAAAATCACCAATCTTCGTACACACGTCTCTATCCTAGTGCTCTGCCAAAAGAGTCTATCATAATCTATCAAGAATCTTAGGGTATTTTAGGTATAAAATGTGATCATCTTTAAATAAATTTCTCTTTGCCATTCTTTTCTGTACCCAGATGCTTGGGTTAAGACTGTAAGAGGTCTCTTCAGCAAGGGTGCAGAGAGTTGATACCCTTGGTACAGTGTAAACTGTGGAAGAATTGCTGTCACAATGCCCTTGTTTAGCACTGTGCTGGCAGTCATCATGGCTCATGTCCTCTATTGCATGACTCTTCTACAACTTCTTTTCTTGGGGTTTTACTCTAAGGAGGGCTTGAAATTTTACCAGGGCATTTTTTTATAACTATTGATATGATTATGTGATTTTTTTATCTTTGGTTCTCTTTTATACTCTTTCTAACAATTATTGTAAGCAAGGAATTTTATAATTCGATATCCTCATAACTAATAGTTTTTCTTCTTTTTTCATTTAAGCTGCTTTTCAATTTAGAATTAATTTCTCTTTCATTTTAGATACAAACCCTAGTTCCCCCTCCATCTTCTTCTTCCCCTACCAACCTCCCTCTATGGAAAGGCTTATTAGAGCCCACTCTATATAGTGGCATACCTTGCTCAGCCTTGATAGTTTTTCTTCTTTTACAGAGGCAGAGGCAGAGGCAGAGGCAGAGGCAGAGGCAGAGGCAGAGAGGCAGAGAGGCAGAGAGAGAGAGGGGTGTTAAATCTTTCTGCCAAAAGCTGCCTGAGCACCACCACCACGTGTGAGCTTTACGCCAGCCGCCTGCCCGAGTTGGGCCCAAATGAATACACAGAAACTTGTATTAGGTTCAATGCTGCTTGGCCAATGACTAGGATTCTCATCTGTTAGCTCAGTCTCAATTATCATACATCTATATATTTTATAAGACTTATCTTATCGGATGCCTTATTGGCGTCCCTCCTTGTTGGTGGATCACATCGTGCCGCTGGAGCAGGAGAACAGGAAAAAGGGGACCTTCCTGTTTCTCCTTCGCTTAAATATGAGTCTCCTTGCTATGTCACTTCCTGCCTGGATCAGCACTTCTCTACTACATTTCCCAGAATCCTCTTTGACTCCTAGTCCCGCCTACTTGCTGTCTCATTGGCCAAACAGTATTTTATTTAACAGTCAATAAGATAAACATACACAGTACATTCCCCATCAGAGGGGCAGAGAGATGGGCAGAGAGAGGGGCAGAGAGAGAGGGGCAGAGAGAGAGAGAGAGAGAGGGGCAGAGAGAGGGGCAGAGAGAGAGGGGCAGAGAGAGAGAGAGAGAGAGGGGCAGAGAGAGGAGCAGAGAGAGAGAGAGGGGCAGAGAGAAAGAGGGCAGAGAGAGAGAAGGGCAAAGAGAGAGGGACAGAGAGGGGCAGAAAGAGGGGCAGAGAGAGAGAGAGGGGGCAGAGAGAGAAGGGCAGAGAGAGAGAGGGATAGAGAGGGGCAGAGAGAGAGAGGGGGGGCAGAGAGAGGGGCAGAGAGAGAGAGGCAGAGAGAGTGAGGCAGAGAGAGCGGCAGAGAAAGAGTGAGGCAGAGAGAGGCAGAGGCAGAGGCAGAGGCAGAGGCCTCTGGGGGTTGGAGGACAGCCTGGTCTACAGAGCCAGTTCTAGGACAGCCAAGGCTACAAGGAAACCATATTTTGGAAATAAAAAAAAAAAACCCTAAAACTAAAACGTAGTAACTGTGTTCACTGACTTCTGTAGATCCTATCCCCAAATGGTAAAAGCAGACAAACAGAAGCCTTTGCTAACTTTAAAAACTATTTTAGGAGGCCTCAGCATTGACTAAAGACAAGAGATGCTGATAGCTTATAATCACTCTGTGAAAGAGAAAGTTAGCAAATCCCAGCACAGGGTCTTTAATATTCTCTGTCTGCCTTTGCCAGCTGCTAAGCTTTGTTAGAAGCAAGGAAAGCTTAGGAAAAATGCACATGGTCCTGTACGGAAAATGGAAATACCAAAGAAGCATCAAATACACTGACCACAAGAAACACAAAGAAGGAAGGGACTTCAGATGATGTGTGACTACAAGGGTCAGATGCCATACCCAGGAGAAGCTTCCACCAGAGGTCCAGGTGCAAGATTTAAAGGTGCAGGATAAAGAAGGGAGACTTGGTTTTCATAGGAGCATGGCTTGAATAGGAACAAATGGGAGCTTATGCCACCTGAGTAGAGTCACTGCAAAGGGAAGTGGGAAAATCAGGCTCTGATGGGAGCAATTTCGAACCAAGAATGCACCACACAACTGAATACTAACAACCAACAATTGGAAACAAAACCCCAAAATTAATAGTGACAAATTAAAAAGGAATGCAAATTAACAGATTATGATTTGTTTCTTTTTTGCTCCTAACTCATATTGCCTATTTTTCTCTGTTGAAGTGAAAACGAGAATCAATTTCGAAGGTTGCAGCGAAATTGGTGGAGTGGATTTTTTTTAGTGGCTCTACTTTCATGGTGTGCAGTGTTACCATTGTTATGTTTTCCAACTTGGTTACCCGGTAAGTATAAAAATATTTAATTATTTAGAGTAACTCTTACCTTCAGCTCCCATTCTCAAAGAACAGATATGCTATATTTCTTTCTGAGTATGTTTCTCCTACTGGTATTGCTCAGCAGTAAAGAAATACTATCATAGTGTTTTCTTTTTAACCAAATCAGTTAGCTTTACATTCAAACATTGTATTTGTATACTACATTTTCATTAGTATATAATTATAACACACATTGTCTCTTTTGAAATACTCTTTATAAAATGTATAGTTGTCTTTTAAAAGTGTGGTATATATAAATCTATTTTCCTAGTGTTTTAATTAAGATTCTCTAGAGTAACAGAACTTAAATATAAAACTCTCTCTCTCTCTCTCTCTCTCTCTCTCTCTCTCTCTCTCTCTCACACACACACACACACACACACACACACACACACACACACACACACACACGGCTGTGTCAACAAATGTTAATTATTAAATATGGCTACTGAATTCTACATTAAATCAAGAATTAAATAATTCAGCCGACTTCCAGGAGTTTAGAGACATACGTAGTGGTTGACTGCAAATTTGGGCAGTGAAGATTTGTGAAATTTTCAGTATCAAGCAATTGTCTTCTGTGAAGTACTTTTGTAGATGAATTTGCATTCTAAAATATGCACTGGCTTTAGTTTGTTTAAACTAACTTACATGTCATTCCAAGATAAATTGGGATTTTTATAACAAGTACAAATTCATAATGTATGTTTTCTTACTGAACTAGACATATCAAAAGATTGTTTTGTTGTGACTTATAGGCGCACTCAAGATAAGCCTTGAGAAAGAAAAGGAATCTCCCTCCTTTAACAAGACACTTAAAAATAAGGAATTTGGACCTAGTTTGAAAGATATGATTGAGGCTACTAAGGTAAAATGAAATAATATAGAAAAATAGAGTAATCAAGCCTGTTTAGTGGATCTGCTTAATTTTCTTACAGAGTTAAGACAATGACAAGTCTTTAATTTCAATCTGGGTGAAAGTTTTGGAGTGTCTTAATTAAATTGTCCATTTTCCTTGTAATGGAGAGAGCTCCTGAATTGGCATTGATAGGGACCTGTCTAGTGCCAAACCCTGAGGATACACAAGGATAATTTTGGTTTAGTTTTCATTGCTTTTATGTGTTTGTTCATTCCCTTTTAAAAAATAAGGCATTTAACATAAAGGTTATAAATTGGAAGAATCCTATTCATCAACACATCTTCCCAACACAAAAAGAAGTCACAATCTTGAATAAAAAATTCTGTTTTCATTGATGTTAATTTAATAGGATTATCGTCCTAACAAATGGCAGGATGCAGAGGAAGCCCCTTCCAACACTCTAATCCTGTTGTGAATATTTTTTCTTTGATTATATCATTTTTCTGGCATATAGATTACATGGTTCTAATTTCCATATACAGATTTCATTCATTTTTAATGAATTTTACACTGAATAAAATGTCTAAAAATCTTTGCTATAACATCAATTGAATTTTCCTAAACCTCATTAGAAGTATATCTCTGTATTCCCAATTACCCATTATTTTTCCTTCTCTTTTTTTTTGTTTTATTGCTCATTGTTCTACTCTAAGCATTTTATTCCTTTAATTTTTTATTTCAAAATTAAAATATAAATATAGCCTTTTGGCCCATTCCTCTTTTCTCTTTTCTCTTCTTCCCTTTCTATGTATCCCCATACCACTTGATCTCTCTCAGTTGGAGAAGTTCTACAGTCAATTAAGGAACAGCACTGACATCAAGAGAAATAACCTTCACTAGGGAAAAGGTCCCTAACCCTTTTAAAATATTTATTAACTATATGTTTTCCCCTACTCCCTTTCCATACACATAATGCTACTGGTCTATAAACTTTGGCTTGTTTACCTATTTAATGGCTAATATCTACATATAAGCAGATACATTCCATATTTAACTTTTTGGGTCCTGTCACTTGGGATGACTTTTTTTCTAGTTCCATTCACTTGTCTGCAAATTCCATTATGTAATGTTTTTCACAGCTAATACTCCTTTGTGTAAATGTACCACATTTTCTTCCTCTATTCTTCTTTTGAGGGGACTCTAGGTTATTTCCTGTTTCTGGCTATTATGAATGTAGCATCAATGAACATGGTTGACCAAGTGTCCCGTGGTAGGAAGAAGCATCCTTTGGGTATATTCCAAGCGTCTTATTGCTGAATGTTGAGATAAATTGATTCCCAACTTTCTGAGGAATAGCCATATTGGTTTTCACAGTGGCTGTACTAGTTTGCTCACCCACCAGCAGTGGAGGAGTGTTCACCTTATTCCACATCCTGCCCAGCATGAACTGTCACTTGTGGTTTTGATTTTAGCCGTTCTGAGAGGTGTCAGATGGAGTCTGAGTAGTTTTGATGTGCATTTCTATGATGGATATGGATACTGAACTTTCTTTAAGTGTTTCACAGCCATTAGAGTTTCCATTGTTTATAACTGTCTGTTAAAATCTGTACCCCATTTTTTAATTGAGTCTCTTCATTGCTGTCTAGTTCTTTGATATATTGAATGTGGAGTTGGTAAATATTATTTCCCATTCTGTAGGCTGCTGCTTTGTCCACATGACTGTGACCTCTGCCTTACAGAGGCTTTATTTAGGTCCTATTTATTAACTGTTCACCTTAGTGCTTGCCCTATTGGTTTACACTAAGAAAACTTCTTGTGACAGCTAAAGGCTATCCTCTCCCTTCTCTTCTATCCTGTTTGGTGTTTTTTTAAAATTATTTAATCTTCTTGATGTGATTTTCCTATTAACATATAGGTGCCTTATCCTTTAGCCCAATGTTGCTTCTTCACACAGAAGTCTCTATCACCACTTTACCTAAGGCAGTTTTGTGTTTAAAACTATACCTTTACATATGGTCTTGCATTATTTTCATCATTAATATAGCAAACAGTTATCTCAAGTCACATTTTCTTTTTTCCCTTTTTATTTATATTAGAAACAAGATTGTTTTACATGTCAATCCCAGTTCCCTCTTTCTCCCCACTAACATCCTACCTACCCTATACCAATTCTGCTGTCCAGAGACAATGAGGTCTTCCATGGGTGGTTCTTTAGAGTCTGTCATAAACTTTGGGATAGGGCCTAGGCCCTCCTCCATGTCTCTAGGCTAAGGGAACATCCCTCTATGTGAAATGACCTCCCAAATCCATTCCTATGCCAGGGACAAGTACTGATCTACTACAAGAGGCCCCATAGATTTCCAAGGCCTCCACGCTGACGTCCACATTCATGGGGTCTGGATCAGTTCCCTGCTGTTTTCCCAGTGATCATTCTGGGGGCCACATGCTCAGGTCAGCTGTTTCTGTGGGTTTCACCAGCTTGGTCTTGACCCCTTTGCTCATCACTCCTCCTTCTCTGCAACTTGATTTCAGTTCAGCTCAGTGTTTAGCTGTGGCTGTCTGCTTCTACTTCCATTAGCTGCTGGTTGAAGACTCTAGTATGGCATATAAGTTAGTCATCAATCTCATTATCAGGGTACTGCATTTAAGGTAGCCTCTCCACTGTAGCTTAGAGTATGTTCTATGCCACATATCTGTTGCCGCATGACAAAACATTTTTAGTGGGACAGAAAACTGTTTTACTAATCTGTGTGAAGTTGTATGAGGCTCTATTCCTCTCAGCTGAACACAGGGTGACAAAAGTGCTCACAAACTGAAGGACAGAATGATCTCAAGACTTCTTTGCTCTACCATTAACTTTATTACTGGTGTGGCTTTAGAACACTCACACACGGGCTTGCTGGCAATTGTAAGGTCATCCTGTGCTCAGTGACTTAGTGATGCCGTGGTACATGTCTGCAAGGGCCAAACTTGAGGTATGGTTATGAGGCATCTTAGAATATAAGCTGTGCCACTAAGTAAACTGTACTCTGAGATATAAGGTGTTGTTAAAAAAGATACAACCTGAGAAAATTTTAGAGCAAAAAGTGAAATAAGTTACTCATAAGCCCCAATATACAAAAAAAAAATCTTCCAAGAACACACAATTCTAAAGATACTGTTGTCAAAGGAGATCAAGAGTGCATGCATAGGGACTTTTATTGTAACCATGTTCGTGACACTGGGGAGTTGAAGGTGACACAGATATTAGATCCTATAGTACTCGAGAGATACAGTGGAATCACATGATACAAAGTTAGAGAACTCTCACTAGATGGGTTAGGTAAATGCAAACTATGAGTGTCTCTAATAAGACACCAAGAAGTACTTTCAACATGCTAGCAGATCCAGAGATAAAAGCTGTTTTTACTGGACAGAACCATCAAATTACAAATATCTTATGGAATATGTCTATTTCAGAATTACAGTTTTGTTTGCATAACTCTGTTTAGACTATAGAAATCTACTTCTGTGTATTTATCATAGGCATGGGAAGAGATGAAATCATTGTGATATGACTTGTTTTGTTTCAGTGTCTGTTGAGGAACCCGCTGCTGATATGCTACTCATTGTGCAAAACCACAGAGTGCCTGACTTTTAGGGGATCTAAGTCATTTCTGCCCATTTATTTACAAAATCAGTTTTTGTTAACGCCCTCACATGCCAGTATGCTCACAGGTAGATTTTTTCTTCTTACTGTGCAGATTTCAATATTTCCACAATGTGTATAATTAAGTGTGATATGTGTATTTAAGAATTATGTCATGTAAGCAGAAGACACAGGGTGAAGTGTACTTAGATGCCTCTTGCTAAAATTATAAAAACACGACTATGCTACACTCCATCAATGTTTTTAATACATAAACTTCACTATTCTGTTTATATTGCTCACTATCTTCCTGCCTCCAATCTACACACCTGCCCATTTCCTTTCCCCTTCTCCATAGGTAAACAGGCTTCTCAAGCCACAATTTGCCCTTCCCTTTTCCACTCTTGTACCTTTCTGCCTGTGGGTCTGTACTCAATGGTTTTCTGAAATATTCATATCATTTCTTACTGATTTTTCTATTTCTTTCACCAGAAACTATACTTTTCAGATTCACATTGATTTGAACTTTATGCATTGTATTTATTCTGTGGTATGCTTCTTTCTTTAACTGCCAGAGACATGCTGCTGTTTACACACATGCAATTGTGAATCCATTACTATACTAAGAAATATGAAATTAGATTTAATCTTTATGACTCTAAACAATGTCACTTGAAAGATCCCTTTAATACCCCTTCATTCATATTTGTAAATGTTTTTCTATGTTTTGACACTAAACAGGAATTGCTATTGTTTTCCTTTTTGTTTTGTTTTTTTAATTTATTTACTTAATTTAGAAACAATCATATTTTACATACCAATTCCTGTTCCCTCTGTCTCCCATCCTCCCATACCCCCTAGTGAACTCCATCCCATCCCCATCTACTACCCAGGGAGTGTGAGGTCTTTCATAGGGTTTCATCAAAATCTGTCCTTATAAGTGTATTGGGAATTTGACTCTTTAAAAGACTTCTAAATAATAGGTCTCATAGGAAGTATTAAAAAGTTCTAGAAATAATTGAAAAGTGAAGAACATAAAAGTTCATTTTAGGCTATGAAAAGCTAAGTAGGTTTTCATGACAGCCAGGGATACACAGAGAAAGCCTGTCTCAAATAAACAATCAAACAAATCTAAAACAAAACAAAACATACCAACCAAAAGTCAACCAGGCATGTTATAGCATTTAGTGGAACCTGTGAAAGCATAGTAAAAAGAGTACTTACATTAATGTTTAACTCTACAGAAGGCCAGAAAAAAGATACTAAAGCATATGGGGAAAAACAAAAGCAAATATTCACAAGTACAGAAGCCTTGATATAAGCAGATTACTGAGCAGATTCTTCTTTTCCAGCATCAGGTTTCCTTATATGTTTACATGTTGTTCTTTTCATGTATCCTGATGCATCAGCCCAGGTATAATAGATGTATTAACAATTGCATACTCTACCTTGTCTTGAAAGGATGAACTTTCATACAATTTTTGTATCTATAGCAATGACTTAGACTCATCTGATGCTACAGTCTGAGAGTTTTCATGCTTCTCTGAGAAAGCTTTGCTTTTTGTCATGTGTCCTGTAGTTAATTATGTTTCATTTTTAGAATCTCCCCAATGTAAAAAGTCATTGGCCTCTAGCTATGTGAGAAAGTCTACTAAAAGATTCTTTCTTCATTCCTCAGAATCTTTTGTCTCATAAGATCACCTGTCACAAAGAGCTGTAGCTCAAGGAAGTGATGTGATTAGCAATGGTTAAGGTACACTCTTAGGAGAAAACTGCTGATACTTCAAGCTAGGCTTGTAAGAAAAATGTTCTCTCCCACTCCAAGAAGCTAACAGTTGCTCCATGGCTTGGGCTCGGTGTTCTTGTCCAACTACTATCATCAAGCTAGGATGTACTCTCACTTGGGCTTTCACAGTTTTTTAATTAGTATATCATTTATTTTTTTCTTTTTTTAAAATTTAATTTAGAAACAATCTTTCTCCACAGGTCAATCCCAGCTTTCTCTCCGTCCCCTCTGTCCCTGCCTCCACCAAGCCCCCAAACACCCACTCCATCACCCCTTCTCTCTCCAGAGAGGGTGAGGCCCTCCATGGGGGATCTCTAAAATCTGTCATATCATCCTGGGCAGTGCCTAGGCCCTCCCCCATGTGTTCAGGCTGAGAGAGCATCTCTTCATGTGGAATGGGTTTCCAAAGACAATTCATTTGCCATGGATAAATGCTGATTTACTACCAGAGACCCCAGAGATCGCTGAGGCCTCCTCACTGACACCTGCAATCAGGGGTCTGTATCAGTCCCATGCTGGCATCTCAGACATCCATCTGGGATGCCAGTACCAGCCTGACTACTCCATGTTTTATAATTCTAGTGTGTGAGTCTTCAACAAAATGGATTTATTTTCAAAATCAGTGATTAACCGAGAAAAAAGGCAATCATTAGTAATGCTTGGGGGAACTGTTGGGCCTGGTTGTCCAACAATTCTAGAAGTAGTAGCCCATTTTTCTGCAGTAGAGGTCCCAGAAAGTGATGTGTAAACAGGCTAGGCAATATCATGTGACCTGTAACACAGAAAATGAACAAAAAAAAAATCAAATCAAAACACTTAGGTCGACAACTCACACCTTTTACAATTAGGTCACTAGTCATTTTTGTCCTTTGATTCAGAGGAGGACATCAGATAACACATTTTCCCCTCTTAGTTCTGGAATGAGTATCATCTTTGTCATCTAAAACCATAAGGTAACTTGTCTCTGCTCTGAGGGCAGAGATACAATCACTATCATCTATGGCAGTTTACATTACCAAAAAAACATGCTTGCAAAGAGTTCAGAACAAAGAGCAGCCTGCTTCAGCATTCAGTGTGTAAATATGATTAAAACTGATAGGGGAAATTATCTAATAAGTATACCTGCAGTTATGTAATATAGGAAGATACAAAACATTGCCATAATGGGAAGACTTTGCAAAATATATTGCTTAACTGAAGCTTTACTTAAACATGGAGGCACATAAATGTTGAATGGAAGAAGATGCTGTAACTCGATGTTTTCCTCTTTCACTTTTTGAGGGGCCCACCAACCAGCTCCCAAATAACTCACACATGGAGGTTTATTCTTACTTATGGATGTCTGGCCTTATTTTGGCTTGTTTCTCTCCAGCTTTTCTTAACTCATATTATCCCTTCTAACTTTTGCCTGTGTGCTTTCCACATTCTCTTCTGTAAATCTGATCCTTATTCTGTGGAATCCTGTGTAGCTGGGTGGCTGATCCCTTGCATCCTCCTCTCTTCCTTTTCTCGTTTCTTTTGCCCAACGGTCCCCAGATTTCTTCTCCTATTTATTCTCTCTACCTTACAACCCTGCCTATCCATTCTCCTGCCTTGGTATTCACCATTCAGCTCTTTATTAGACCAACCAGGTATTTTAACCAGGCACAGTAACACAGCTTTACAGAGTTAAACAAATGCAACATAAAAGAATGCAATAGGTCTCTGCATCATTAAACAAGTGTTTAACAGCATAAACAAACGTAACACATCTTAAATTAGTATTCCACAACATATTTTCTTTCACTTTTTCATTTTTATGGAACATTTCACTTATATGTATTTATTGTGGTATGGTTTAATTGTATGTAAGTGTTGTTATTGGTATTTTTCTCTACCTATTTCTTCTGCACACATTGGATTGATTGGATTGTAGTGTTGTGTAAGTTTACTTTGTTATTCTGAGTGTTTCCTATTTTTCCATTCCTCCTCTGTTATTTTTTCCAGCTCATATTCTTCCTGTGGTTTCCTCTTTCTAAGTCTTTGCACTAAAGTAGAAAAGTGATAGCTTATACTGGGTATTCTGTAGTAACATATTGTTAAGACTGTTCATGATGATCATCTGTGAGAGATCTCAGTGACTTGGTGGGTCTCATTCTTGTTCATAGAATAGTTTCAGAAAGCCTGGTGTTTCAATTGTCTTTCAATAAGCCATTCATTCAATCAGCTAAATAATAATACAGCAATAAGACAGCTCTTAACTTCTATGTGGTATGGACTAAGTTCCTGGCATGTACTAGATAACCAGTGTATAGGAGCAACACATCACAATTCCTTCCAGAATCCAGTAGACATAAAATGGATCCAACCCCATGCCTAAGATTCTATATATTATGAAGTCCAGGTTTATTCGATTTTACATCTTCTTTATTTTTTGTTTTGTTTTGTTTCAATACCTGTATTTGATTAGAGGGAGTATTACCTAAGTGTAGTTATTCTGTAGTCTCAACAGATTAATTTATAACACTATTTTCTTTTCCTTTTCTTAGGCATGATTGTAATTCCAGGAATGGCAATTGGCCATTTTGTGGGAGGTTTAATTGTTGACAGATTGGAAATGAATTCTAAAAGCAAACTAAGATTTACAGTGGTGACATCTATTATAGCACTTGGGCTTTTTATGTTAATCCTTTTTGTAAAGTGTGAAACAGTGAAATTTGCTGGAATCAATGAAGATTATGAAGGGTAAATATGTTTGAGTACTAGATTTTTTAATCATAATAAAGGAAATATTTTCAGTAACCAAATATATTTATATAACACTTAGAATTGTTAAACATGTAAATGAAGTATAAAAACAGTTTTACTCTTCATATTAATGGCAAGTATACATAGAGACATACTTTTCATGTATTCATAAATGATTTAGAATCAAAACTAAACTTTGTGTTAGGGTATGTAGCAATACAAGATGGTACTAGGATATATGTGATTTGACCTTGTGTTTTGAACTAATCTGTCTGCCTTCCTGTAGGCATCAGGGATGAGTTTAAAGTACATATGAGCATGTACATAAACATTTTAATTTAAATATGCAAAAGTGCAAAGTGCTTGGCATGGATTTATATTAAATATTGCATAACATAAATGCAACTGGAAGCCAAAGGATTAAGCAAGTGAAATGATAAAAGGGAACAATAGTACTTTCAATTGCAGTAGAATAGCTTACAGCAAACCAATACATGGTACAGAAGCTATCCATGAACTTTACTTCCTTTACAAATTTATCCCAAGGACTTAGAGGAAGGTCCTGAATTCATAGACATAGCAACAAAAATATAACTGTAACTGAATAAATGATAATTTAAAACTTTCTAACGATTAAAATCCTATTCTGTGCAAAGACTTTTAATCTGGCAGAAGAATTATACTGGGAAATGGAAAAATATATGTAAAATAAAAAATTCAAGTCTGCAGTTGGAGTCAATGACATGTCAACTGAAAAATCTCTGAATACAAAATACTCAGACAATTGCTTCCTCACTCCAGCATAAAGACAAATGGGAAATATTTTATTTTTAAGAATTTAGGGGGATATGAACAAATAAGTTTCCCAAATCAACTTCTCAAGTATTCAATGTGAGCAAAAACTCATAAATAAAATAAACTGCTACTCACTTACTGCTTAGGCAATAGTGCTATTGAACCTCATATGCATGAATACTAAATGTTACTATCATGTCACTTCTTTACAAATTTATTTGAAAATTATTTATAATTTATGAATATCTTTTCAAAATAAATGGGACCTCCTGAAACTGAGATGCTTCTGTAAGGCAAAGGACACAGTCAACAAGACAAAACAGCATCACACAGAATGGGAAAAGACCTTTAACAACCCTACATCTGACAGAGGGCTGATTTCCAAAATATACAAAGAACTCAAGATATCAGTCACCAGAACACCAAATAAATTTGAATTAAAATAAAATTAGGTCATTTTCCCATAATAAAGTTTTCCACACACCTACAGAGCCTGTAGACATAAGCAGAACAATAAACAAAAGGTCAAGAGTGGAGAACATACTGAAGAACCAAAACAATGAAAAGAAGTCAGAGGACTCAACTGGTAGAGATAATTTTTTTTTTTTGTTAAGCCTAAACAAGTACAGTGGTGCTGTCTTTCCTTTAAAGATTCAAAATAGTTAGCTCAGTGATACATTGTGACTATTTAGAGACTTAATGCTTGCAAAGCAGACAATCAGACCTGAGAAGGATGTTACATGTTTTAAAAATATTTTCCAGGGGAATTTACTTTTCAACTGGAAACAGAATTTAAGGTACACTTCCAATTTCACATAATCCTCCAGAGTATAAGAGATCTATATATGTACAATGAATCTTGTAGTGCTAGGGAAAAATAGGAATTATATTTCTGCCTTAAAGTCAAATAGAATTTACCACAAAATTAAATTTCTTTGAATTTATGAATAAATTTATTTTATTAATAAATAATATGTTACAAACATGAGAAACATGATCCATATATATCTTTTGATGCAAAAAATGAAAATCTTTCCTTCTAGATGAAAGAGAGCAGGGAAAATGAGAGATAAGGGCTTTGTCTTCACAATATAAGAAACTGGACTTCTGGATTATGAGCATTAGGTATAGTCTCTTTTGTGAATGCTTATATTTTTTTCTTTAAAGACTATTGTTTCTCAAGCTGGGTACTGGTGGCACATGCCTTTAATCCCAGCACTCAGGAGGCAGAGGCAGACAGAGCTCTGTGAGTCTGATACCAGCCTTCTCTACAAGACATAGTTCCAGGACATCTTCCAAATCTACAGAAAAACACTGTGTCGAAAAAAGTCGAATACAAAATCAAAACAGACTATTGTTTCTCAACTTTAATATCAAATTTCCTAAAAAGTATGTCAAAAGATAGATTACTGCCTCAGATTATTATAATTTCTTACATGAGTAGTCTTAGAATTTGTAGGCTCAGAGGCAATGGTGTTGCTGCTGGGGTAAGGGACACATGTGCACACCGGTGGTTTGGCAAGATTGATGGCAATATTGGTGAACAAGATGGACTAGGGAAACATGAAAGCTGTGACCTCAAGGGGTTGTTTTTGTTTTGCTTTCTTTATTATGAACAAATTTATTGCCCAAAATAGTGCCAAACAGAAATGAAAACTTAGTGTGAATATACACACTATAATTTGACCAAATTCTTAAAATATATGTCAGTTCCACATTATATTTCTTGGATAATTTTTTGGAGTTTACCAAATTTTCAGCCAAATTTGGTAACTATACACCTTTAATTTTCCACATGTTCCAGTTAACTATGTACATATTAATTTTCCAGATTCAACTTAAACTCTTTCAGTAAGTGAGTCTGTGTCTTTGTCCTTTCTTCTTTTATTTCTTTGTTTTTTTTTCTTTTCCTTTGACAAGCAGATGAAAGTGAATACTATCTCACTTTGTTTATAATATCCTTTATATATGACAGGGAGCTGCACACATGAGGTCTTGCCAATATGACTGATGAAAGCAGATCTCTACAAAACAATGCCAGTTGACATTCCAACATGGATGGGGAAATCTCACAAGAACCTGTCCCCAAATTCAGTGGTTGTGGTCACTAAGAAAGGAATAATCTGAGTTGTTCAGGCATGAGATGAGCTCCGTGGTAGTTTATGTAACCCAGACAGAGTTCAGCCTCTTATTATTTATGATTGACAAATGGTCTTATATATCCTAGTCTGAAATTAAATGAGACAGAGTATACTCAGGGGATGGAACACTAACCAGTCATAAGTGAAACAATGCTTCTTTTCAAATTTAACAGGAGGTTTTGCTAAATTAAAGAAAAATAAAGGGCAATTTGAATAAACATATTAGGAAAGTTATGTTTATTTAAAAACAATATGACTGTAGAAAATAAAAAGTCACTAGAACTAATTTATTGAATTTAGGATAATGACACAACACAAGCCTAATTAAAAGGATGCATGATTCTCTGTGGCTGGGGCTGTAGGTCATTGGTTGTCCATTTGCATAATTACTACATGGCTAGGAGTTCTATACCAGCAGAGAAAAATGCAGTCTTACATACACCTGTAACAATTTACAAGCTTCCTACAAACAAGTAGAAACATTGTCATTATAAAAGAACATAACTTTCTTATATTATTTATAAGAGTATATAATTTTCTCCTATTGTATATAAAGAACAACATTTAAATTATTACTAGCAATGGTGTAAAGTATATGTGAAAACCATATATTGATTATTGCAATGCATGGAGGAAATAGAGGCCTTTTAAATGAAAGATACCCCATGAAAGATACCCCTTGAACAGGTGGATCCATTTTTTATGAATATTTCACTTCCTCTAAAGTTTCTGCTATGTATTCAGTATAGTGACAACAAAGTCCCATCAGGCTGTCCTTTGTAGATACCAGCAATAAAATCTTAATTACCACTGATATGCAAAGACCTAGAAAAACAAACAATAAAAAATAACAAAATTAGAAGACTAACCCTATTTGCTTCCAATACAAACTATAGAACTATATTAACCGAGAAAGTGATAAAAGTACATTAATGAAATAAAATGGAGAGACTTTATGAATAGAAACCCATGTATATCTCAATGGTTGATATTTGGCAGGGTAAAACATAATGAAGTAGAGACTCTAGAGTCATTAACAAAAGTACAATTAGCTGACTGTTTGGCCCTTAAAACACACATACAGGTAGCATTATACAGAGTGAGCAGACTTCATATTGAGGATATGATATGACTACAATAATATTCAGTGAAAAAAGAAGCCATGAATTTGAAGGAGATTGGGTAAGGTTCAGATGGAAGAAAAGATGGGGAGTAATGTAATTATATTGTAATCGCAAAAAAATAAAGAACTAAAATTGTATATAAATACTATTTGCAGGGCTAAAGTGATTGCTCAGTGTCAAGAATATAGGTTATTCTTCCAGAAAGCCTGAATTTGTTTCCAGGACCACGTGTAAGTTGGTTGCAAACTGCCAGTTATTCCATCTCCAGGGGATCTGACATCCTCTTTTGTTGTCTGAGGGTACCCACCCCTTTGAGATGTTCTTATACAGATACATGCATACTCAAAATTAAATGTAATAAAAATAATTTAAAGATGTAAAAATGTTATTGAGTAGGGACCACTGGATGCCTATATATAAAGACAGTAACTTGGATCCTGACTTTGAACTATACAGAGGAATTTAAAAGTAATCATAGGTATAAATATAAAATACAATATTCTAAGATTATGAGGGAAATTCCATTTTGATTTTGAAGTTGGCAAGGACTTCTTTTGAATGTCACAAAACACATAATTCAGGAAAAAATGCAATTTGGACTTCATAAAAATTATAATCTGCCTTACTAAGGGCTTCCTTTTCTATTTTTCTTTTTGTCGGGCAGGAGAGCTTGATACAGGGTCTCACTATGAATACCTGTTTATTTTTGTATTCACTATACAGACCAAGCTGCCCTGAAACTTACAGAGAACCATCTGCCTCTGTCTCTGTCTCCTAAATCCTGAGATTAAAGGTGTGTGCCATCATTCCTGGCCTTCAGGAACTTTTAAAATCTTTTTTATCAAGCTACGGATTGTAAGAAGATATTTGAAAATGATATATACAAAATAAAACATTTGTTTCTGATCATATAAAACACCTAATAGTGTCTTTATTAGTAATGAGAAAATAAACAACATAAAAATGAAACTATACTTTCATCAAACACACACACAGATGGCAAATATGCACAAATAAATCATAATTAGTCACTAGAAAAATGTGAATTAAACATCACAATCTTAACAATTGCTCCCACGTCAGAATGCCTAAGTCACTGAGATCTTACTATTACAGAGAACTATGGAGAACAGTTCAACCTCCTGTATACCCCTAGCAGAAATGTAATCATATACGGAGGGGAGTCCCTGCAGGTGTCATGCACTAGGGCAACCAACTGTGAAGAGATGACAAAGAAACTTCAGTTCAGATGGACTCAAAACATTGATCAAACTTTGATGCCATTCTTTGTCTTTTCCATTTTTGTGTTGAAGCTACTCACACACATTCCTTTCCAACTTTGTTGACTAAACTCCATCACTACAGACGTCTCCACTCACTGTACACTTTTTATATTCACAACCTTTCTGCAATATTTTCTCTCAAGTCAGTTTGGCTTCTATTCTCTGTATCTTTACTCTTCATGTGCTAATTTATACATGAGGTGAGTTGATGTTGATCCCAACCTTCCTCCTGTGTTTCGAGGTTAAATATCTTGTAGAATTTAACCAAGAGTCTCCAGGAAGCAACTTAAGAGCATGGTCAAACCCTTAATAGTGACAGGCAGTTAGGAGGATAGCCAACTGATTTAGCCACAAAATTTTAACTTTGTTCTTTCAGTTTATCTAGCATGAAAGTTAAACACTCATTTAAGAATTGATTTGATGACCAAGGGAGGGGAATGTTCTCCATAAACTGAATGATCAATACCTCAGGAAAGTTAATCAGCATCAGTTTAGGGGCTTTATGTATTACTTGCAATTGTGCCTACACTAGAAGTAGGCCACTTTTTAATAATTTTTCCCACATGGAGGAAACTTTGATACTGAGATACTCCTGCTACAAGGGGAAAGACAAAAACAGACACACAAAAACCTAAGCTCTGTGGCAGCTTCATGCTAGTTCATGCTGCAGGTAGTTGGGCTCCATCTGCCATTCCTTGGAAATGAGGTGTTGCTGCTCTGAACTAGTGGGCTCTGACATGAGGAGCCTGACAGGAAGACTGTCAGGAGGCTTGCAGAGGCAGCGCTCTGAGTTCTGGTGGAATCATGCAGTAGGGTACACTAGAACCAGGGTAGCTGGCCTGGGATCTGAGCAGCTGTGGAGCTCTTTCTTCCTGTCCTGCAATTTGTGTATGGCAGGAAATTCTCTCTCTCTCTCTCTCTCTCTCTCTCTCTCTCTCCTACTCCCCCTCTCTTTCATCTCCCTCTTTCCCTCTCCACATCTCCCTCCCCAGCCTGTTTTCTCCCCTTCTCTATTTTATTTTCTTAAATATTTGATGGGATTTTTTTTCTCCATTCTCAAGGGATTTCTCTGTATCAGCTCTTATGCACATAAAGTTGCAAAACTATAGCTTTGACTGTTTTTGTTTTTCTGGATCTTAAACATTTCAATAATTGTACAAAATGATTTGTCCCAAAGACTGGGAAATATCCATGTTAGTGCTACTCTCTCAAGGGTTAAGAGTCTTTTCAGTGAGAGGCCCAATGTTTCTAAAACCCTAATACCTATTTAAAGAAAACTTTCCTTATTTTTCTCAGAGGCTCGTGTGTCCTATATTTTGGCACCCTTAGGTGTCATTGCAGGTAGTGAAATGAAGCAGGAACAGGTGAGAATGAAAACTCAGTTCAGATTGACTTTGTAAACTGGAAACATTTTTTTTTGTAATTATACTGTGTTTAAATATGCTGACACAAGTTTCCTGGTATGATGGGATCTGCAGTGCATAAGGAAGCATGATTGCATTGAAACTCAAATCAGGGTACATGTCATTGCTTTCAAGAAGATAGGTTACAGAGACAGGCTGCCTCTGTTTGTTACCTTAAGCATCTAATGAAGGATTTGGCATGGTCTTGGTCATACACACAGAATGGGGATCATACATGCTATTGGCTACCTCTTGTCCTCATTGTAGGAGCTTGGGAGAGCTCTTGGCTGTATAGGTAATGTACATTTAGATTACTTCTGGTGCCAACTGTGAGATCTTGATATAGCCTGTCCGATGGATAACAGAAATCACGGGACTGTTAATCGTTTCCAATTCCTGACTTGTGGATGGAAGAAAAGGTTATATGTCTGTCATTTTAAAAGACAACCCCCCCCCACGACCCTGAGATTAAGAGTTCATTCTCTACCGACTGAGCTAGCCGGTCCTGACCCACGACCCTGAGATTAAGAGTTCATTCTCTACCGACTGAGCTAGCCGGGCTACTAGGAGGTGGAGCTACAGTGTCTCCCTACAGGGCTCCTAACAACAAACCACATTGGAAAACTAACAGTTTCTAGAAAAGTTAAAAAAAAAAAAGCATTGGTGGTAGCCAGAGCAGTAGCTCAATGTTTAAGAATACCTGTTCTTTCAGAGGACCCAGGTTTGGTTGCCAGCACCCACATTAATGATCATAATGTCTACAAGTCTAGTTCTTATGGATTCAATGACATAATTTGCTTCCAGAATTCCTGAACTCACACAGTGCACAAATATACATTGAAACAAAACAAACACACATGTAAAAATAATTCTAAAATATTTTGCTTTTAATACACAAGAATCGTGGAAGCACATGACCATATTAGAGCAAAGAAAGATCATTTGCATGCATTTATATGTGCTACTTATATTTCCTGTACTTGTAGAGACCATAAGAGTGTATCCGATTCCCTGCAACTGGAGTTAGTTTTGAGCTGCATTGTGGATTTTAGGAATGGAGTTTTGATCCTTGGGAAGAGCAGGCAGTACTGTTAAGAGCTAAGCTGTCTCTCCCAGACTATCAATTGGCACACTCTTAAATTTGCATTTTATTGTGTTTTATACTTTAGTAAATCTGTGAAAAATAAATTACTGAAATGAGTATGTTTGCAGCTCTTGTTGATATCTTAATATCTGCATTAATAATTTAAATGACAGTGTCATAATTGTATTTCATCTCAACTTCACAGGTCAGGTAATTTGGGAAACCTCACAGCTCCATGCAATGAGAAATGTGCTTGTCCAAGCTCCATCTATGCTTCTATATGTGGAAGAGATGATATTGAGTATTTCTCTCCCTGCTTTGCAGGCTGCAGGGCTTCTAAATATTTAGACAATGAAAAGGTAACTTCTAATTATGCATCTTCCTCTCCAGTACCATGCTCAATTTGTAGACAGTGTTTAGATTTGATTCTACTCCTAGCCCTCTCTAAAATTTTGCTGTTATATTTTCCTTATTTTTAACCTTAACAACCCAGATGGAAAAGCTAGTTTATGGTTTCTAAGTGATTCACTGAACTTTGAACACAATCTTTCAGACACCAAGAGGTTGCCCAGTGCCATGCTGTGAATAGTCTTTTCCTCAAATGTGCCTTCTGCTGAGATTCAAAATGCCTGCTGTAATGATAAATCTTTCTGTCAGCTGCCTGGATTCTGTCGCTGCTTTAGGTTCCCAAATATCACAGCGAGATTAATATTAGTTACAATGCTGCTGGCCAATGACTAAGATTTCTTATTTGCTAGATCTGTCTTAAGAATCAACCATAACTATTAATCTATATATTCTATAAAGACTTATTTTATTGAGGACACCAGAGGCATGAGTCCTCTCTTCCCAGGATCATATGGCTACTCCTCCTTACTAAATTTCCCACAATCCTCCTTCTCTCCGAGTTGTGCCTCTCTTGCTTCCCTATGGGCCAACAGTGTTTTATTCATTAACCAGTAAGAGAGACATATACACAGAAGGACTTCCCCCATTAGCCTACTCTGTATTTTTCTGTGTGTTTGTCTACTTCTGCTCCACAGGACCTCAGATATAGATAAGGTTGTCTCTTTTTTTGTGGGGGGGTGTTGAATCCAGTAATTTGCTACTTAGCTTTTACATCTCCTGGGCCAAGTTCTTTGTACACTAGATCTTACCTCATATACACTGCTTTTACAGAACATATCTGATATTGCCCAAAATGAAAAGCCATACAGAAATCATATGGATGAGAGAAATATGACTTAATTGAATCTGCCTCAACATTCCAGTTATATATCTCATGGTATATCCATGAAATTTCTTATTTCTTTACTTGCTGTCAATGCCCACAATACATTCTTTTTTCCTAGTCCTTGTTCTGTTGTAGAGAGTAATTGCCCATACTACAGTTTGTGTGGTTCTCTTTTTTTCATTTTGTGTGTACACACATTTTGATGTGTGTGTGTGAACATGAAGTTCTCATGCACAACTATGATAGCATTTGATACTTACAAATGGCAGAAGTATTCAGTCTTAAAATATGTGAATGAAGTAGGGTCATAGAACCATCTCTGAAGTCATTCCTCATGAGTAGTCTATCTTAATTTTCTAGGGGTCTTTCACAGGCTTGGAGCTCTCCCAAGTAGGCCCCAGGGATCCACACACTTCTGCTTTTGGAGCAGTGGAGTTACAAGCACACTGCCGTGCTCGGATTTTTATGTGGACACTGGGCATCAAATTCAGGTCCTGATTCTTGGCACTTTACTGACTAAATTGTCTGGCCATGAACATTTTATAGTTGCTAGTTACATTTTCTTCAGTTTCTACATTTTAACTAGTAAAACATTATGGATCTAGGTATGAAAATGCTGTAGGTGTGTTTCTCCCTGTTTCATAATTGCCGTGAAGGGAAGAGAGCTGTAAGTAGGTGTAATTATTGATTCATATATATTAGGTCACTATCTTTGGCAGCATTCATGATTTAGTATCATAACAGGGGTTTTTAACAAGCATTAGTATAATAATTAGTATAAAGATCTTTTGGTGGGGAGGAAAGCTTTATTTCATCTTTCCATTCCAAGTAACAGTAAATCACTGAGATGAGTCAGGGCTGGAACTCAAACAGGACAGGAACCTGGAGGCTGGAACTAAAGTAGAATCCATGGGAAAATGCTGCTTTCCAACTTGCAACTTATGTCTTGCATAGCCTGCTTTCTTTTCTTTTATAAGAAAGATTTTTGCCATTTATAAAATCAATATCCTAAAATTCTATATGTTAAAGTAGTTTTTATGTCTTCAAAATATGGGAGAAATTTAAATGAAATAGAAAAGTATAATGACTCCCATAAAGAGTTTTCCATCTTCAAAAGTTGACTAAGTTATTGTAAATACTAAGTAAATGTAAATAAGTTACATGTACCCATTTCTTCTAGTTATTATGCTAAATTATGTAAATGCAGCTGCAAATGCCTGTCATATCACTGTACAGAAAATGTAGATTCACTGGAAGTCTAAACACTGTCTCACTATTGAGTTCTCCTATGTGGAAAATCCTGCTTTGGAACATTCATCACAAGGAATTCTTCATAATTTTCTTATATTTCTATGAGTCACAATTAATTCATAATCCATAGCACATAATAGATTCTACAAAATATCCACGCACTGTGAATTGAAATATTTGATACTTAGAAATGGGAAAAAACCATTTCCAGTGAAGAGTATAGCTGCCAAAAGTTGTCTAGAAAGACAATCATCTTTGATGGAAATAATTGCTCTGAAGCAAAATTGACAAAAACAAAAGACTATCCTGAGACAAATTTGATATGAATGGAACTGCAGAATGTGTGGAATCAACATTAGTGTGAAATAGGAAATACCGAAACAAAATAATTTTGACAAACTAAGGAGAAACACTGCCTTTACTAAAAAAAAAGAAAACAAAACAAAAGTCTTTTCTTCATATTACTAATATAGACAGTGAGGCTCTTTTAGATCACATTGTTTGTTTTTTTCCTGTTCATGTAACAAAAACACTTTGACTTTTCTTTCTGATCTTATATCTTTGGCTGGTTCTTTTTGTTATCTTCTGTGGTTTTTCTTATAAGGTAGCAAGGCTGAGAACTTCTGTAAGCAGCTTCTTCTGGCTCAACAGACACCCCAGTTGCATTATCAGTGGACAAGCTAGTTTACAGCTCATCCAAAGCACTAGGAATCTCTTAGTTGCCAAAGGACAATGATGGCTTTCAGTGGCAGTTCATACTCTAACAGAAAAGCAAATGAAAAGCAAAGCAAAAAAAATGTCTCAGGTACCTTAGTTTTTCTATTGCTGCCACGAAACACCATGACTAAAATACAAGTTGGTAAGGAAGGGTTTATTAGGCTTACACTTCAGCATTGCTTTTTATCACTTAAGGGAATCAGGACAGGAACTCAATCAGGGCAGAATCCTGGAGGCAGGAGCTGATGCAGAAGCCATACAGGGGAGCTGCTTACTGGCTTGTTTCCGTGACTTGCTCAGGCAATCTTCTTATATAAGCCAGGACCAACTGTCCAGGCACGGCACCACTCACAATGGACTGGGCCCTTCCCCTTTGATCACTACTTGAGAAAATGCCTTACAGCTGGTTCTCATGGAGGCATTTCCTCAGCTAAGCTCCTTCCTCTCTGATGACTCTAGCTTGTGTCAAGTTGAGACATAAAACCAGCTAGCACAGATAGGATAGTATATGACAGTTAAATGGATTTTATTTCACATTTCAATTTGTAACATAATCCTACATAAGAAATTAATAAGGTAAGTCCTACAAACAGAAAGCAACTTATAGAGGAACCAGATGAGTGAGATACAGTAGAAGTAGGAAGCTATTGGTGTATATCTCATTTACAATATCATTTTTGGCATGTAAACTGTAATGGATCCTTTAAAATGAATTATGATTTTGCTCTTGGGTGGCCCAAACATTAGCAAATGTTTCCAGAAACAGTAAGGAGCCCTCAGGGTATCCTTCATTAGAAATATCCTTAAACTATTTGTTACAACTTTGAACACATTTTTACATACATCTTATTTATTCAGTTAGTTTAGTGCCGTGTGTGTGTGTGTGTGTGTGTGTGTGTGTGTGTGTGTGTAAGCTAGAAGCTGGTGACAAATCTCTCCATCAGCTGTTCTCTGTCTTAACTTTTGATTGAGAGAGGGTGTTTTATTGGATCTGGATCTCATGAATTTGTTTAGGCTGGATGGCCAGTTTTCTCCAGGATCCACCTTATATAACTAGGATTTTAGATCTAGTTTTCCCATGGGTGTAAGGTTCCTCTTGTTGTATTGCAAGGACTATATTTTAGAAGCCATCTCCTAATTTCTGTCTATTTACATATATGATTATTTTGTAGACACACCTATACTTTCATATTTAATGGTTTTCAATTGAAAATAGTTTTGTTCACATGGCATATTTGATTATGGTTCCCCCCTTCAATTCCTACTAGATCCTTGCCAATTCCATACCCAATGAAATATGCAACCTTTCATTCTCTTATGTTTAGAAAACAAGCAGGCATTCAATAATAGTAATAATGGGAAGATACAATAAAAACAAGAAAACCAGAATGGAACAAATCAAACGGTGAAGAAATATGCCCAAAGAAAAATCATAAGAAACATATATAGATGCTGAAAGACATTCATTCACACATACAGAAATCCCAGAAATACTAAATTGAAAACCATATTATATAAGCAAAAGATGTGTGGGTAAAAAAAATAGATAATGACATATATAGATTCTGAAAAGTATTATAAGACAAAAACAGTAATAACAACAAAACAAAATAAAAACTCTCAAAAAATACCGGTTGGTTTGCTTTGTGTTGGCCAGATATTGATAGGTGTGAGGTCTTCCATTGAGACTACTTTGAATGCCCAGTGAGAGACTTTTACAAAACAAAACATTTTACCTTTACAAGTAGTTTTCAGTTGGAGATAACTTCTGGGTTTAGTGTGATGGTACATTTCTACTTTCCCCTGAAGAGCGGGTGAACCTGTCTGGCCCAGTCCTCTGCATGCTGTTACTGTTTCTGTGTGTTCATTTGTGCACCACTTCTGTTGTGTATAGAAAACGTTGCCTCCATGGTGCACTCCCTCCCCTCTTACTCTTAAAATCTTTCTGTTTCCTCTTCTGCAGAGTTCCCTGGGATATAAGTGGAGGGACTTGGTATAGATACCCCATTTAGGAGTGAGTATTCCAAAGGCCCTCACTCTCTGCATAGACATGGCTCTCTGTGTTTGCTCCCATCTTCTGGGGACAAAAGCTTCTGTGGTAATGGCTGAGCAAGACACTGGTGTGTATATAGGATTGTCATTAGAAGTCGATTTTGACTATGCTCCTTTAGCTGAATGGTAATATTAGATTTTCTTCTGTATCCGTCATCTACGTGGTCACACAATCGTGGCCACTAAGAAATGTGGGGAATTGGTTCTATCTCAGAGAACGGGGAGGCAAATCAGCAATGTAGATCACAGCAAGTATAGTTGGATTTGTGTTTGTCTTTCTATTGCCTTAGAAATAGCCTGAGTTCTTTGGGAGCTCATGGGGCTTTTTAGGCAATTCCCCATACTGGAGGATTCCCTGGGTGGTGAAAGATAATCAGGTTGGACTTAATCACCCTTTGTTATTTGGTGATTACACTGGGATTTCTTTCATACATGTTTATTATTTGTAGAAGTTCTTTTTTATTTTATTAATTTTATTTAAATTAAAAACAATCTTATTTTTTAGTGGGGAGATGAATAGAGGAGATTAAGAAAAGAAACACATCAATACATGGATCCACTATAGGTTTAAAGAAAAATCTGGTGCTAGGAAATTGTACAGAAATCCACAAGTTTGACCCCCAACTAGGAATCTAAGCAATTATATAGATATTACCTGAAATGCACTTCCCCTATAATGACCATGATGACTACCTTAAATACTATCCTAGAGCCTTCATCCAGTAGCTTATAGAAGCAGAGGCAGAAGTCCACAGCTAAACACTGAGCCAAATTCCTGGAATCCAGTTTCAGAGAGGGAGGAGTGACAAACAAAGGGGTTAAGACTATGCTTGGAAATCCCAGAGAAACAGCTGACCTGAGCAATTGGGAACTCCTGGACCCCAGTCTGACAGCTGGGGAACCAACTTAGGAGAAAACCAGGCCCCCTGAATGTGGGTGTCAGCTAGGAGTACTGGACAGTCTTGGGGTCTCTGACAGTAGAACCAGGATGTTTCTAGTTCTAGACATCAGGAGCCCATTTCCCATGGAGGGATACTCTCTTAGCCTAGATACACAGAGGAGGGCCTAGGTCCTGCCCCAAATAACTTGACAGATTTTGATGATCCCTCATGATAGGCCTCATCCTCCCTGTGGAGTTAATGGGAAGATGGGAGGGAGAGGGACTTGGGATTGATATGTAAATTATGATTGTTTCCAATTTAAACAAAGTATAAAAAATTTCCTGCTTCCATATAAGTCTGACAGATACACTGTGGCCTATGGGCTATAGATGGATGCTCCAACATTACCCAGGAACTTGTGTAACTGTCCTAGTAGTGAGATGTCTCTGTCAATTCTAGAGTTTATATATTATCCTGTTGTCTTTGATGTAGTTGAAGAGAAATATTTATGGTTCTGTTGTCCTTAGTTATGATAACAGATAAGTTACATATACAGCTCTAGACTCAGAAAGATAGAATAGACCATAGGAGATTTTCTAAAAATTTTGCCAAAAGTTAGTTGACTTAATATTGTTAAGTATAGTCATTGCTTGATAGTTGTTTTGTTTTATATAATTTTAGTATGTTAAAGTTAAAACCCCTTTTTTCTTTAGACAGAAAAGATGGGATAATGTGGTATGTTCTTTTGTACATATGTTTCTCTCATTGTTTGATGAACAAAACACTTTTTGGCCTATAGCCAGGCAGGAAAGTTAGCTGTGGTGAGCAGACAAGGAGAATGCTGGAGAGACAGAGAGGCACTAGAAAGGGATGCCATGCAGCTGCCAAAGGAGTTACGGGTCTAGGGATTCTCCAGTTAGCCAAGACCACGTGGAAATACATAGATTTATAGAAATGGCTTAATAATTAAGACAGATCTAGACAAAAGAAGACATAGCCATCAGCCAACATTTTAAAAGTTAATAATGTCTCTGTGTGCTCGTTTGGGCCTGAAGGGGCTACAGAAGCATGCTGGAAAGAAATGTTCACTTACAGGACATGGTTTGAGATTTTCTGTACTGTGACAAATACCAGAGAGAAACAATTTGAAGGAAGATTTATTTTTGCTCATGCTTTCAAAGTCTTCATCCCTTGTGGCTTGCTGCATTAGTTTTCAATCTGTGCAACATAACTAATATGGAGTATTCATCTTATTGCAATCTGGAAGGAGAAAGGGATAAGTGAGTTTGCCTGCCTGGCCCTGTGTTTTTCCCTTGGATAATTTTAATATCTTCTTCTATTTCACTAGTGGTTACAGGTCAATTTATACCTTTCATTTGATCTTGATTTAACTTTTGTAAGTGGTACCTATCATTAAAGTCATCCATTTTTTTCAGGATTTCCAATTTGGTGGGACACAGGTTTTTAAATTACGTCCTTATGATTCTCAGGGTTTCCTTGTCTTTTGTTACATTTTCCTTTGCATTTTTGATTTTATTCATTTCAATACATCCTTCTCACCTTTCCAGCCAGGAACTAGGTTTATAGATTCATTTTTCCAGGGTACTCAAATTCAGTTCTTGGTGAAAGACAAGCCCTGTACTAAGGCAGCCATCTGCCAATATTTGCTCATACATTTTATTTTTGTAAGCACTCCTACACTTATTTTTAATAATTGTTTTACTTGAAAATACATTTTCTTCATATAATTTATTCTAAGTATTATCCCCATTTACATTCCATATAAGATCCTCCCCAATGTGACGATAACATTTAAAATTCATCAACCAATAATAGGAACATATGTACAGAAGACTTCCTCCATCATCTTCTCTTTTCTGTAGAAATAAAAAGAAAGTTTTTATTTTAACACTTTCAAATATATATATATATATATATATATATATATATATATGTATATATATATCACAACATATATAATATACATATATTAATTAAGAAGTGTAATTACAACTTTTAGCTTAATAACTTTTAGCAAGATTTAAAGAAAATATTTTTCTACCCTATCTTTATGAGTCTAAAGTCTTATATGGTACTTATTTTTTATCATAACTAAAAAATTTATAACCATGACTACTGTCTTCAACCCCATCAAAGACCACAGAAGGATAATATATAAACTCTAGAATTGACAGAGACAACTTGCTACCTGATCAGTCACCCAGAGTTCTTCTGTAATGTTCCATCTTTGGTCCAGAGAACATAGTATGTCTGGTAGACTCCTCAGTAAAGTAGGAAACTTTCAACTGTCTGCCTTGTATTGGCAGTTTGTTGGTCACTTTTCTCTGTGTCCTGTAGAATGTGTGGCAGACTCTTCCATGAAGCAGGAACCCTGTAACAACATCTACCTCGTTTAAGCAGTCACTTTCCTGTGGGTCCTCCATGCCCATTTTATACAGCATAAAGTCAAACAGTCCAGACAAGAGCAGTTTCTTGCCCAAATGGCTAGTTGTGCCATATTGGAAGCAAACTCCATAACAAGTTTCTTTGATGTCCATCTTCCCTTCTGAAGCAGGTGGTGTTGCCAGGAGCATTTGTGTCTCACTGTTAGGAAAAACCCCAAACCGTTTTAAATGCCATATTCTGTAGGTCTTTGAAAGGTTTGACGGATGCCTATCCAATCGAAATATATCTCTATATATCTAGAAATCTTAGTTAACCTAACTATAAGTTTTGACTATTATAGGTAATTATCTATAATCTGTACATAATTACACACTACATTTTAAAATGAGATATGTATACATAATACCTAAACAAGAGGACAAATATACATATCACAAAATTTACCTTAAATTTGTATCAATAAATGAAGATTCATTCCAATAGAAAGTACTCATAATCCAATTTTTCCTTTAAAAAAGAGATTGGCTGTTATCTTTAACCATTGATAATCAACCTCATTTAAATGAAAACAAACATATATAAACAATATTTGGGAATGTGGGTGTGGTTCTCTCTAAACCACTTCCTGCTGGTTGGAGGTGCTGTTTATACCATGGGGAGCTTGAGAAAAGAGAAACATGGCCAAATCTGGGCTGTGGTAGTCTGTAAGGCTGCATTGTCTCAGCTGTTTTGTGTTATGGATCATCTGGGTCACTGTTTCAGGGTCTTGTTTCATCATAAATTATTAGTCTGGAAGGAATCCACACATTTTCATCTTATGTGGAGACAAAAGAAGAATCTGTTTTTCAAAGTAAACTGTCTTTAGACTTAAATTTTGAAGTCAAAGCATTTTTAAAATACATAAGTTAGATTAATAAGTTAGTAGCATTTATAATTAAGTCCCTTTCTCAACAATTAAAAAAATTAAAGATAACATAATAACATACTGAATCCAGGCTCTCTGTGTATTTTCCATCTTTATGTAGCATATTATTTATTTATTATTATTACTCTATTTCTTCTAATTTTGTTTTTTTCCTGTTATAAGACAATGTTTCTCTGTGAACATTTTTTCTGTCCTGGATTTTACTCTGTACACCAGGCTGGCATTGAAATCGAAGAGATTTGTTTGCCACTGCCTGCTGAGAGCTGGGATTACAGGCATGTGCCACCACACCTAGCTACTCTATTCCTTTTTAAATCACTTATCCTTTTTCTTTTCTTTCCCAAGACTATGTATATTTTTCTTTATTGTAAATCTTTATCTTTTTCTACCCACATGAGTCTTATCATCTTACTAACACCACTTGTTTGGTAAAAGAGCTGTTTTATTTTTATTGCCACTTATGCAAATCAGACTGCTACTCTTTTTTTTCCAGAAAGGTACCTTGAAAGGAATCGCACACAAGCCTGTGCTTGTCTTGGAGAATGCCTGGCAAACAGAGTTCATTCTACAAAATGCTGCTACCAGGAAGCTGAGCTTGTTTCTATTCTTTTGTTTCTAAAATCCCTTTATAAGTTTTTGTCAGATTGTTATTGAAGGTTTTATGCCATTATTTTAGAATAACTCTTCCTGCCAGCCTGGTCCTAGTGTTGCCTCAGCCCCAAATAAAACACTTAGACTCTTTTAGTTATAAATCTGTTGGCCAATGTCTAAGGCTTCCTATTGTCTAGCTCTGTCTTAAGTACTAACCCATAACTACTAATATATGCATTTCTACTTAGTACTATCTTACTGAGAACACCAGATTCATGCATCCTCTCCTCCCTGGATCATATGGTGTTTTCCCTTACTATACTTCCCAGAATCCTCCTTGTCTCCTAATCCTGCTTATCTTGCTACCCTACTGATCAACAGTGTTTTATTCATCAAACAATAAGAGAAACATATGTACAGAGGAATCCCTCTATCATCCCACTTCCATACCCACTAAAATCCACAACATTTCTTTCTCTCTATTCTATTATTAGAATACAAGCAAGTATATAATAATTATTAATAATAATATTAATATGACATTAAAAATAGAACCAAACAAAGAGAAGATGAGGTCTAGCCTAATAAATCATTCCTCATCTTCATCCCCATATATTTATGACTTGTGTATCACATCAATTGATTTCATTTTCCAAACATCCCTCCCACAATGAAGCTTTCTACACTACCCTCTATAAACAAAGTATTTTTCATCCAAACACTACTCCTTTAATTTTTCTTCTAATGTCTACTTTGCTCTGGGAAGTGCTTTGTTTTTGACAGCTTGTTCCCTTCCCACCACCTCACTCTATTAGGTAAATATCCTTCTTGTTCCTCTGATTATTTAGGGCACATTCTGCCCTTCATCTCCCAAATATCTCTCAGTGAGACTTTCTCAGCAAAGTACACTTCTATTGCACCTCCTAATTGCATTCTGGGAAGTTCAGCCTTGAGACATTTCCTCTCATTCCTTGCTGAGTATTTAGAGAGTGGGTCACTGATACTCTGTCTAATATTACTGATAATTTTCAAATTCATCCTGAGGGTCTATTTTGCTACTCCTATAATCCTTTCACTCATTCCTTCTCAAAAAACTCACATGCATCCTACTTCATTTGTCATACCTTTGTGCTTCTATTGAACAAACCTTTTCTAATTTCTCATCAGAACCTACTTTGTCTATTATTTCAATATCAATTTTCACTGACAACAACAAAGCCATTTCTTTCAGCTGATGTTAATATGCAGACTTCCCAAATTTCTTTCTGTTTTTTCTTCCATTTTTTATTTTATTTATTTTTTATTTTTTTATTTTTATTTTTTTGGTTTTTCAAGACAGGGTTCCTCTGTAGCTTTGGAGGCTGTCCTGGAACTAGCTCTTGTAGACTAGGCTGGCCTCAAACTCAGAGATCCATGTTACGATAAATCTTTCTGCCAAAAGCCACCTGAGCCCCACGGCCACTTGTGAGCTTCATGCTAGCCGCCTGCCTGAGTTAGTGCCAAATGAATACACAGAAATTTGTATTAGGTACAATGCTGCTTCAACAATGACTAGGATTCCTCATCTGTTAGCTCAGTCTTAATTATCATAAATCTATATATTTTATAAGACTTATCTTAACTTACACCTTGTTGTTTTCCCTCCTGGCTGGTGGATCACATCCTGCCGCTGGAGGAGGAAGGGGAAAAGAGCGCCCTTCCTGTTTCTCTTTCGCTTAAATATGAGTCTCCTTGCTATGTCACTTCCTGCCTGGATCAGCACTTCTCTACTACATTTCCCAGAATCCTCTTTGACTCCTAGTTCCATCTAAATTGCTGTCTCATTGGCCAAACAGTATTTTATTCAATAATCAATAAGATAAACATACACAGTAGTACATTCCCCATCATCTCCTCTTTTCTGTCTAAATAAAAAGAAGGGTAACTTATCTTATATAATAACTGAAGAAAACTATAACCATAACTATCTGTCTTCAACTCTATCAAAGACCACAGAAGGAAAATATATAAACTCTAGAATTGACAGAGACATCTCACTACCTGGACAGTCACCCAAAGTTCCTCTCTAACGGTGGGGCATCCATCTTCAGCCCATAGGCCATTGTGTGTCTGGCACACTTCTCCATTTCAACAGGAACCCTTCAGTACTATCTTGTTTTGTAAGTTTAGCAGTCAATTTCTTGTGGGCCCTGCATGTCCAGATTATACTGCAACAAACAGTCCAGGCAAGAGCAATTTCTTGCCCAAATGGCTAATCTTGCCATGTTGAAAGCAAACTCCATAATGAGTTTCTTCGATGCCCATCCTCCTTTCTGATGGAATTGGTGTGTATGTGGCAGAAATATCCATTCCAATATAGTGTCTTCCCTCTGCATGAGAATTCCAGAAGGGTATTCTCTGGATGGCAAGATAACCAGAATACAGTCTAAATCAAGGTTTATCTGATCTACATGTGCATCCAATATTCTGTTTTCTACCCATTGTAACTCTTTTTCTGCCTCAGCAGATAATATTCTAGGACTGTTTAGGTCCTTATCACCTTTAAGGGCCATTTTTAAATGCTTTAAGTCATGTCCTTCTACACCAATAATCGTCTGTAATTGAGAAATTTCCCCTAATAATTTCTGAAGAGAATTAAGAGTTTGATACCAATGTCTCCTAATTTGTACCTTTTGAGGTCTGATTCTCTGTAAGTCTATCTTATAACCTAAATAGTTAATAGAATCTCCTCTTTGTATCTTTTCTGAGGCAATCTGTAATCCCCAATGAGGCAGAACTTCCTTCACCATTTCAAACACACATTCCAAAGTTTATTAGAATCTGATAAAAGAATATCATCCATGTAATGATAAACAAGAGATTGTGAAAATTTCTTACGAATTATTTCCAAAGG